CCTGGGCACTTCCTGTGCTCTCTGCCTGCCGTGCTGACAGCATCTGCATGTTATATTGCGGTTGCTATTTTTTTTTTTAAACAAATAAGTTTTCCTTGACAACTAGACCAGTTTCTTAGGGGGCAAGACTATGTTTTATTTGCCTTTGTAGCTTCTGTTGGGTAGCTTCTGTTCTGTTGTTAAATGATGATGGAATGAATTAGAATATATTCAGGTGACCAAGTCCAGCCTGTTGGGGCTGAGAGAGGGCTTAAGGGAACAGCCTTGAAATCATGTGCCTTTTAATGGGACAGAGTAAAAATCGGATGCCATACATAGTGTTTAAGCTTTCCAGATCTTTTGGATATGGATATATAATAATAAAAAACAAACTTACAATTTGGTAACTTAAAATATTTCTATTTTTGCCTAAAAAGTGGTTGAGCAAGAGAGCATTTGATTGAGTGCATTTCTTTTCATTTATTTTTAAAACAATTGTTCATTTGTTTTATTGTATTAGCAAATAAATTGTTCATTTTTTAAAATCTCTTTTGAACTGTATTTCAAATACTTTCAGGTTGTACATTTTATAGATTGGCCTTGTCAGAAAACAAGAGCTAGAGAAACATTTCAATGCCATAGATTGTTTAAACTCTAAGTTGATGATTCACTTTTGGAGTCTGGGGATGGAACATGGAACTTTTTTTTTCTTACAAAAAGAAAAGAGACAGTTTTCTTTTTAATCTTACTTTGTTAACTATAAGACATTATAAAAATAGCTCATAATCTCACTAACCAGAGATAGTCACCATTCTATCAGCATTCAGGTATTCATTTTTCCTGGTCTGTGCTTTTTTAAATACATGTTTTATAAAACTGGGATAAAATGTATATACAGTAGTATATTTTTCTTTTCCACTTAACATTTTTTTCCTATTTTTCCTGATAGCAGATATTTTTAAGACATGATATTTATTGGCTTCTAAACATTCTATTATAGCTATATCATTGTTGAAAATTCCCTTTTCTTATTGTTTGGTGGTTTTTAACTTTTCTTAATGATTATGAAAGTACATTACTATATAAAAGACAATGAGCATTTTCAAGGCTTTTGATAGGTATTTCTAAAATGTTCTCTGAAAGGATTTTTAACGAATTTACATCCCTATTGAAAGTGTGTGAGAGTTTCTCTCTCCATGTACCTTCTGTAATAGCAGGGCTGATTTTTAAATACAATTTTTGCTAGTTTGAAGTATTACATAATCAAATATAGCTTTTTAAAATATATTGATTTTAGAATTTTTAAAATACATTTATTGACTATTATTTTTAGATGTGAATCGTCAATTTCTTTTGACCTTTTTGTTTTTGGATATAATCTTATTTTCATTGTTTTGTAAGAGTTCTTTGCATATTAGCTGAAACACTTAAAGTTGGTTTTACAGGTCAAAAACAGTTGAATACTCTCAACTTCATATGGTTTAACTTAAATTATGTATTTTGTGTTGGTTGCCAGTGTTTTCCCAGTTTGCCTTTTGTTCCTTTTACCACATTGTTTTTTAAAGCATATAACAATTTTAAATTATTATTGTGGCTTGATTCAGAGATCTTTTCCTTTGTAGTTTCCTCTATAGCTCTCTTGCAGCAAAAGTTCTTTCCATCCCAAGGGCAGATAAATATTTTTGCAGTTTCATATTTTTACATTTAACTTTTAAAATCCATCTGGAATTTTGTTTGAATGTATTATTAAGGCAGGGATCTGTTTACTGAGTGATGAAACAATTACTTTCAGATTCCTGAGCAAACACTATTGTTGAATGTCATGTCTCATTGCTAAAAATCACAGAATTATTACATGTCCTGTGCATATAACATTTTTGACCTCGATTCTTCATGAAACAACGGTGACTTGGGTTAGCTGGTGTGCTTCAAGGATCGGTAATAATCCAGAGACCCTAATTTTGGCGCTGTTAACTCTCCTTTAATGATTTAAGTAATATGGTACACAACACTTGATCTACTTGATGGCTTCTTTCAGCCTAAAATTCTGTCAGTCACAGAACCTGCCGCATTAACTCATGTGGACAATATTGTTACATAAAATGTTCTTTAAATAGAAAGACTTTTAAAAATCTTAAATATGTTTTACTTTTCGTCTTTATACTTAAGTTGGGCGTAACTTTAGAAATGATATATTTTAAAGTTTGTCCTTTGCGCAAGACACCAAGAGATGATGTTACTTATTAAGTAGTGCCATAGGCCTCAATCAAAGTGCCTTCCCTCATAGGGGTTGCAGACACAAGTGCCACTCATTTACTCTGGAGTTTTTAGAGCTTGTCTTAGTGTTACTGTGGGATAAAACAAAGTGTTGAGTTCATCTGTCGTCTAAATTTCTGTTATTTGACTTAAATTGCATGCAGTGGTTCCTACGCTGTTGACATCTGGTGAGTCTTTTCAGTGAAGGGAGGCGCGGGCCCCTCCCCGTTTCCGTTTGGACACCTCAAGCACCAGTAAAGAATTGTTTTGAGTTTGAAGAAACACATGGATGTATTTCTATTCAAACTCTTCCTTTCTGAACTGAGAAACTTCGTAGGTTCAGATACATTTTTAGATAAATCCCTTGTTGCTATTTGCTATCTAAAAGAGTGGGACAAAACTGATTCAATAATGAGCTAACCAACTCAAAGACCAAATAAATTTGCATAGTGAGGGTTACTTGGATTAGGCCATATTACGTTTCCTATGTTATGGAGCCCTCCAAGGGTGAAGGTGAAATGGAAAAACCCTTCTGGATTCAAAAACTGATGATCCCTACACCCCTGAGAAGCCAGCAGTGCCCTAGAGTTTCCTGATGATTGTTGTCCTTGGGTCCCCAGTCCTTCTGGGACTGTGTGGAATGGGGAACAGTCTACAGTGACGACTCCGAGGGGCAGAGGCTTTGTCCTCTGGAAATGGGCTCGTCGGGGCTGGAGGTTAGGATTTCCATGACCACTAGGGGGCTTCAGTTGCCCGCAAAGAAAGGGCCAAGCCCAAAGGTACTGTGGTGTTGCTCTTCACACTTTATTTCAAGAAAATAATTTCATTTTGGAAGTATTTATTTTCTGAGAGAGACTGACAGGACCAATGCATAAAAATTAAAGACCTTTGAGGGTCATCTAGTCTTACCGTCTCATTTTAGAGATTAAGAGCATTTTGGAAGGCTTCTCTAAGAGGACTCAGCTATCTGGTGGCAGAGTCAGAGTTAGAGCCCAAGTCTCTGATCCAGCTCCTGGTCTAGTTCTTTAGTGGTTGAGTCACTGGTGTAAATCTAGTTTTTATTTCCCTGAGGTTCCACCTCAGGGTTAGATGGCACAGAGGGCTCCTCAGGCCTGGAGAAGGTATGGATGGGATGTCACATTGAGGGCGGGCGGGAAGGGGGCGCTGGGCCTGCCTTACGGGGAGGGTTGAACGGTGTGGTGTCTGCTCTCCATCCGAGCCGGTTCATGAGTTTACCGCTCTCCATGGCTCAGTTTTGAGGAGTTTTAAGAATTCTTATTTATTCTGAATAAAGCCTAGACCCTTAAATATCTTATCATTTTCTTCAGATGAATAGCAAGAATTTTTTAAAATTATTTTTCTCTTAATTATTTTTATGATTTAGATTAACATTTAACCTTCGTACCAGTTGGTAACTACCCCCCCCCCCTTTTTTTTGTAAAAATGTCAATGGTTACTAGAAAATGTTAACAAAAATCAGGAAAATTCATTATGTATCAGCTCAAAATAACTTATGAAAATGTTGAAAATTTTTGTTTTCTGGGCAAACTCTAGAGTAAGCAAACAGTGTTCATTTCCACTACTTTTTATAGCAAGTTCAGCAAAACTTACAACTTCTATTTTTAAAAACAGTAGGCTAAAATTTTAATTTATATATTATGGCGAGTTTCTAGAGTAGACCAGATTTAAAGGAGTCCAAGAGAAGGGAGAGTGAAAGGATCGGGGGAGAGATCAAGACAAACCGATGATGGAGAAAGAGCTACCGGATGAGAAAATGGGATGCTTCCACCGCAGAGGGAAGGCAAGGAGCCTGCGTGAAGGAAGTCGGGCCCGAGGACGTGGGGGAAGAGGGCAGACACGAGCGCCAAGGGCAGAGAGGAAGAAAAGCAGAAGGGCAGGCTGGACATTGCTGTTCAGGCCCTCCAGGGTGCGCTCCCGCCCCTTGGGCCCTTCCCCGGCAGAGCCCTGCCTTTGCTCCTGGGCCTCCCCCGCCCTGCGGCCACAGCCCAGCGTATGTAGCTCCGCAAGCATTGCCCACACGCTTAGTCGGAATCTGCTAAGTGGGGGCTGGAGTGAGGATTAAAAGATATGGCCCTTGAACAATGAAATACTACTTGGCTGTGAAAAAGAAGAAAATTTTACCCTTTGCAACAGTGTGGATGGACATGAAGAACAGTAGGCTAAGTGAACTAAGCCAGTGAGAGAAAGACAAAGTACCATATGATTTCACTCATATGCGGAATCTAATGAACAAGCTGAACTAACCAGGAAAATGGGGACAGACTCATAGATGGAGAGCAGGTGTCAGCTAGTGGGGGCGGGGAGGTAAGGGATGGAGGAATTTAGCAAAAAGGGAAAAGGACCTATGGACAATGGACATGGGGACAACAGTGTGGGGATTGCTGGGGGGAGGGGACATATGGGAACTAAATGGTAATGGAAAAAAATACAATAAAAATTAAATAAAAGAAAAAGATGCAGTACTTGAGAATATCTTAAAGCATGATTGGCCATGTAGTTAGGTCCCCCCAAATGGCAGCTATTATAATTGTTAAAGTGGTTTTTTTCTCCTGTGATGAATCAGAACATTGGGAATATTTCTGTGACTATAAATCATGTTTGAAACATTTGAATTGAGTGTTTGATGTAGAACTTTAGAAACGGTCATTTTCTTCTGGTATATTGAAGCTTAATTGAATAAAAATGTTCAAGTCTAAATCTGCTGAAGAATTTAATTATGCCTTATTTTGTCTTCTTTATTGTAGTGATTTGAAGGGAGTGATAGTCACTCTAAGTGATGATGGTCACTTACAGTGTTCATACCTGGGGACAGACCCTTCTTTGTTCCAAGCTCCGAAAGTTGAATCTAGAGAACTAAACTATGATGTGCTTGATGTAGAGTTGAAAGAGCTTCAGAAAATCATCAGAGATGTTAACAAATCGCAAGGTATCTCATTTGAAGCTTTTCATTATTTTTTTATTATTCATAGTAGAATTTGTATTATTTTGTATATGGATAATGTTTTGTATATATTAATTAATTTTCTCCCGCATGCTTAATTAAAGTCATAGTTGAAAACACTGTGTAGCTCTTTAACATACAAGGTCTTTGTGCTTAACCTGTATTTTTTAGCTTCTGAAAAATATGTTCTATTTAAGATATTGCTTTTGCTAGTGTCCCTTTTGCAGGGAAAGTGCTATCTAGTTTTTTTTTCTTTATACCTAAAAAAAGAACAAGAACTACTTTGGGTAGTGGCTTCAGGCCTTGAGAAGAGCATTAAAATTTAGAGTGGTCATTTATTAACTTCTAATATCCCTGAAAAAAAATGTTAGCTGCTGCTTTTGAGAGAAACCAAAGCAGTACATGAGTTACCACTTTGTTACTAAAAATGTGGCCATTTGCAGCTTATAATATAATTTATGTTTGTAGTTAATTAGCCGTCCAAATGGAGGGTAGCTTGTGGTATGCTGATTTCTAATGACTCAGAGGCTGATGGTCTTTTCAGTTCCTGAGTTTTGGATAACTCAATATTATCTTACTGTGGGATTCACAGGGGTATAATTTTATTGTAAATTAAAAAGAGAAACAAAACACCAATCCTGAAGTTTGAGTTGGACATGTGAAAAGCATTACTTTAAGTTTCCTTCTCAGGGTCAGGTAAAAGTATTTTTTTAATGAGAAAAAATATGGACTATTTTCACATAAAAGAAATATTAAAGCAAGTAGGAATAATAAAAGAAGCAGAGCATCAAAAGCCAACGAAAACAGCAGGGCCAATCTTAATCCTGGTCCAATCATCTTATGAGATTTATGTATTTTTGAGTCTATATGACCAAGACAGATTCAGAAGATATTAGATAATATATATAAAAATATGAATATTGAAATAAAATAATTATTGTTTGGCTTCACACTTTCTCTTAGAAAGTTTTGAAAGCAAACCAGTGAAACAGGTCTTTTAAGTAATACCTCTAATTAGCTAAAAGAGTATTAGTTGTCAGCAACCCTCTGTCAAATAAAGAATGGTTAAAATTGGCTGTGTCATGTTGCAATATATAACTTTTTTTCCCATTTTTGATACTAGTAGTTTGATTATCGGAATTATAAGTCTCACTTTGTCATTTGAAAATGTAATTGGGGAAGAGTGGCATATACATGAAACATGAAATTTCTAGAGTTCATAAATAAATTTAACATGACTTTTCACGTCAGATTTTGTCTTGAGATTTTGCTTTTTCCATAAACAATGTGTTAATGATATTTTGATTAACACTTAATTGTGTAAAACATTTCTCCAAAAAATCCCTCACAGCTAAAAGTTTTTTGGTGACCGTAGTGATGCCCTTGGACAAGAAGGGTTATGTTGTTTTACTTGTCATCACCATGATCCTTCTGTGTGATTTGAAATAACTGCTAATTAAGTGAGGGATATGTCCACAGGCTTGGGTGCAAAGGTCATTATTTACGTAACCTCAGGTTTTAGTTGATATTTGAAGTTCTCTGCCCTTTCTCCACCATCATTTGGTTTTATTCCTGAAAAAGAAACAAAGAGAACCTTTTTTAAAAAAGGACAGACTTTTAAAATACTTTATTTCTAGATATGGAAAAAAATTCAGTATTCTGTGCCCTTATAAAACTGTGGTATATTTCTTTATTAAAATATCTGTAATTATGTGAAAGCACCAAATTGTTGTAGTATAGAAGATTATGAGAAGTTAAAACTCTGAACTTTCTGATGACCTCATTATTCATTTAAAGGCCACTTATTTTAGTATAGTGACTTAAGCTTACAAAAAAATTTCACAGTCTTGTAGGTTATGTTCAGTACTTAAAGCTTTTTAAAAAAATTTCTTCAAAGTAAGGGTTGCAGCAAAATTTAAGGCCAATTTAAAGAGTACATTTTCTTGTACACATGGTGTATATTATCTACTGTAATAAAAGTGTTTTGAACCTGATTTTATGTGTGTAATGAGGAATGCATGTTGTAAGTATGAAATTACAGTAATAATTTCAGAACGGCTCATGGATTTTGAAGCTTTTCGTACTCAACTCATTAGTGTGGATCCCGCCAAGCATTTCTGTTACCAGTAGTCAACAACATCTGTCGGGAGCCACTTTCAAAGATGGAGTTCCCCGGTGACCTAGAGAGCTGGTCATGTTCTCTACTTGGGGTGAGTCTGAAGGGATGGGTATGATACGGAGCCTCCCACGCAGTGGCGCCTTCAGGAAGGAGAAGAGAGCAGCGAGACACGGGTGTGCCACCGGAAGTCTGCATCCCGATGAAATATGCCCAGGATAACTCAGCTGCCGCTACCGCCGAGAACTGGAAACATTTGTACTTGGTGGCCTTTTCGGAAGAAGTGTTGTTTAGGGTTAAGTGGGGCTGCATGTAACAGAAACCCAGCTGAAGTGGCTTACGCTTCTTTGCCATGGAAGAGGAGACCCATGACGGGCAGACCAGGGTCGGCCTGGCAGCTCCCCTGCCATCAAGAACTGCGGTTCCTTTCCTCCCAGAGCCATCTGTTGGTCCAGGGTGGCTTCTGGAACTTCTGCCCACACATCTGCAGCTGAGTCAGCCCCCTTAAGGCTCTTTCCTGGAAGCCACACCCTGAGCAGCTTCTATTCACAGCTCACTGACTACTCCTGGCTGCAAAAGAGGCTGGGAAGTTAAGGGTTTAAGCTGAGCACTTTGCTCCTTAGAACGCGACAGGGCTTCTTTTAGTAAAAGAAGAACTGAAGAATGGTTCCTGGGTGGGTGATGAGCACCCTCTGCACTCTCACTAAGGAAGTTCTGGAAATTCCTGTTCCAAATATTGCAGCGTTAGTGGGAATGGCTGATGGCAGTGGCGGGCAGGTCTTCTCTCTGTCAGACAACCGATTCTCTGCGTGGCCTCGGCCAGTGCTTTCCCCACTTTCGCCTGCCATCCTCTGCCTGTGGGGGGTGTTTCCTCTGGGCCAAGGGCGATTTCAGCAGGCCCCGGCATCACCCGCAAACACCATTTTCAGAGGAGAAGAGAGCTCTCTTGAGTCCCCTCTTTTATTAGGGAGCAACAGCTTTCCCAGAAGCAAGTGTCAGCACCCCAGCCCGCACGCAGCTTTTCTCACCTCGCATCTGCCAGATAAGCCCCATGCACATGCCTAAACCAACCACCAGTCAGGGGAATCAAGTCACCATGATTGGATTTGACCAGTCCAATGACTGAGATGAAGGAGGATGTCTCTAGAGAATTAGGGCTCTGCCACAACAAAGGAGGGGGGAAGGTGGATGTTAGGTGGGCAGCAAGAGCCTCTTACACACACACACACACACACACACACGCACGCACATGAAATAGTGTGTCCAGAAAAAGTCCAGCCATTGTTAATATAACGGGAACAGTTTGTGTGACATCGATGTAACTTGGCAGCCAAGGAGGGTGGACTGGGATATACATGCGTGAATAATGACAACTTCACTGTATTAGTCAGTGGGGGCGGTAGATGCCGTTGACTGAGCATGTGTACTGTATGGCCATCGCATTCAATGACTGAGCGAGTAGAGCAATGAATCTGCATCAAATTTTGCATTAAGGTGAGACATTCCTCCATAGAAACTATTTGGATGATTCAGAAGGCTTTCAGGGACGATGCAATGAGTACAGTGCAAGTAAAAGTGTGGCACAGGCGTTTCAAAGATGGTCAAGAATCTGTTGAAAGTGATCCACGTTCTGGAAGGCCTGCAACAAGCAGAACACCTGAGGATGTTGAATGTGTACAGGCTGCAGTCAACAAAGATTGGCGACTGGCAATGCGAAAAATAGAAGCTGACCTGGGGATTCCAAAAACTACGGCGTCCGAGATTTTGATGCAGGATCTTGGCATGAAACGTGTCATGGTAACATTCACTCCATGGCTTCTGCTACCAGAGCAGAAGGAGCATCGTGCTACAGTTGCTAATGACTTGATTCAAACCATTACCAATGAACCAGATTTCCTCAAAAAGGTCATACTGCTGGGAGAACTGTGTGAGGTCCCAAGGTGCCTACTTTGAAGGGGACTGAGGTATCATTGTCCTATGTACAATGTTTCTGTATCTTCTTCAATAAGTGTCTCTATTTTGCATAATACATGGCTGGATACTTCCTGGGCAGACCTCGTATGTGTGTGTGCACACACTCCTGTAATTATTATTTCCGTTTCTTGCTTATTTCAAACTATTATTTATGTTTCTAGCTTGTTTAGGATCACTGTCGCTTGTTCATAAGATCTTATTATGCACTATAAACAATTTTTTTAATTGTGAAAATAACATGAATACGGTGAAAATAATTCAAACAGTACTAAAAAGGTAAACCCCAGATCCTGTTCCACTAGACTGTTTAAAGGTAACCTTTATCATGAGTTTTTGTGTGTTCTTTAAGAAAGTTTTCATGGTTTTGTAATTACACATTAGACACATTGTGCTGCATCTTGCTTATTTGTTAATAGACATATCTTGGATTTTTTTTCTCATCAGTATATAAAGGTGGACAGTACTCTTTTTTATAGTTTTGGGCTTTAGACCATTGCACAGCACAGACATCATTTTGTTAACTCTTTCCCTGTTAATAGAAATAACAGAGATAATAAGGACCAGCAGCAGAGAATTTCCAGGAGTGTCTGTGAGTTGGCTATAACTATCAAAATGTAAAACGTACAGATCCTGTGACCTAACAGTTCTACTCCCAAGCAGTAGAATGACTTGACTGCAAAAGTAATTCTTTAAACCCACTTACCTTCAAAAGGCTTGTACTAATTTGGGATCTTACCAGCAGTTAAAAAGGAGGCATTAAAATTCCCAGCACTGGTCAATCAGTGGGTCACACCTTAGCTAATATCTTTGGGGGAAGAGGCAGTTTTTCTTTGAAATATTGTAGAGGGGACAGAATTAACCTCAAGCTTCTAATTCTGTAATGCATTAGTTTCTTCAACTTGTATGGTTATGGGGTTGTTTTTTGACATATGGTATACATAACCTTAAACAACTATACAGCAGGTTTTACTTTATGATTAAATGTCATTTTTCTTTTTTCTTTTCCAAATTACAGGTGTCTGGCCCATGACTGAGAGGGAAGATGACTTGAAAATTTCTGCCATAGTTTCCCCGAACTTGGACTCTGTATCTGTAGGTGTATTCGCAGAGTTTGAAAGTGTTTGTGATTGAGAGGACTTGGGTGAATTGGGGTCAACATGTTGGTTTAAACTGTGGGCCTTCAATAAGAGACTTTAGGGAGGATAGCAACTTTTAATCTTCATCATTTTCTAAAAATAACCATTTATAGCCTCTTAGTGTAGTAAGGAGTTCCTTAGGCAGATTTCTGCCCCCCAAAATCGGAGGGAGAACAGTAGAAGGGATTCTTGCCCTTATTCTGAATCTACTTTTTAAGAAAAAGTTTAACCAGAATATTGAGATAATTGTAATCCAGATGAATAATACTGACCCCACAAGATTTTTGTTGAAGGTTCAATGAGATAATGTTCATGAAAGGCCTAACGCAGGGTTTGGTAATTTATAGTCCTCAATACATTATGGTGATTGCGACTGGGGGAATAGTTCAAGAGTAAACAGTTGGGCCAGGAATTATTTTTCCCCCCATTTTTGTCTGTGTGACCCAGGGCAAGGTATTTAATTTTCTTAGTCTCAATTTTCTCATCTGTAAGGTGAGAATAATAGTAGAATCTCCATGGTTTAATTGTATGATAATTAACCAGCACCATCATCATCAAATGTCATTTTAGTTTTCTCAGCATTATCACCACCATCTACATTTTGCTCCATGTATTGTTCTCGCCCATTATCTTAGTGCCTGTCACATATGGGTGCTCTATACATACTTGCTCTACGAGTGAACGAATAAAGCTGAGGAACAAGCAGGATGAAAGGGGGATTGGCGTTGGTTATATTACCCCACATCCTTGTTTAGTCTTCTGTAAGCACTTGTTAGATTAAGATTGTTTGTGCCTCACTTCCTGATTTTGGGCAAAATCTAGACGTTTCTCTGTGTTCATACCAAAGGCTGATCAATTTAGACAAGTGGTCAAATTCACTGGTTTTACTGTATTTGGAGTTCACATCATATAATTTTGCCAAGGAAGTGACTTCAATATCTACATATCAGAGCATAATATAGTAAGTAGTTGTCCTCGTTTTTCAAAGATTAATATGAACAGCCAATCTCAGTAGTGATAAAAATCACATTCACATTGCCATAGAATAGTTAGGTATACTTAAAAAAAAATAGGACCGTATATGAAAGAAACATTCAGCCAGCTGGGTCACATAGTAGAGGCACTGTTTTAAACATTGACCATTCAGCACACACCATTTCTCACTCTACCTGAAGGGTGTAGTCTGAGTGGAACATTTCTGCTCAGTTAGCTGACAAATGTACACACATTTTCTTGCCTTGGGAATGATTCCTTTTTTCCTTTGGGCCACTTATGTACTTTTTTTCTTAAGGTTCTCTTAAACATAGGCTATTTAGAATGAGGAATTCCCTTTCTGTTCTTCAGCACCTTTTGATCTTTGTGGGAAAAACCTTATGTAATAGTCTATATTGTAATGTATATTTCCCTGTTGGCAACTTGGAGTGCTATTTCCTTTCAACTAGGTGTCTCTTTCCAGCTTCATTTTCCCTCTCACTATTTTTTCCTTCTTAAGAGAGTCTTGAGAGTGTAGCATTCATTCCACTGGAAAACATGAGAGCAGCAATTCATGTGGCTCTGGTATAGCCATGTGTCTCTGTATGACCATTTCTCTATGGCTCTACTTTTATTTCCTGAAGGACTACTTTCCTTGAAGTACCTAGGTGTTTAGACAATGGGTTGAAAAGAGCAGAAAACAGGAGATACTTGTTTCTCTTCTAGATCTTTGGAGAGCTAAAGTAAAACATTTCCTGGATTTTAAGTAATACTAGAGCAAAAAGCCTGGCTTAATATTTTATTTTGAATCATTAATATGAAAGCACACATGTTAAAAAAAACCCCAGAATTTATATTAGAATGGGGTCTTTTAGAGAAGAGCTAAGCAGTGCTGTCCTATCTTCCTGAATGAGAAGTTGGATCTGAGTTCATACATGATTTCGTATAGAGTCAGAAATAGAATTTGAATCTCCTAACTCTTAATTATGCCAGTGCCCATTATATCATAGCAGTCTCCATTGCTTAGATGTGGCTTAATTTTTCCTGGTAAAAACATTTCAAATAGGTTAAGTTAAAGTACAGTGGGTCTATTCATTGGTTGGGTAGAGATTTTAGGACCTGCGTTGTTCTCCAGGAATTCATATGGGTATTACTAGAAAATATGTTACCCCTTTGTTTCTGTTACTGAGTGAGAATTTTTCTCTCAATCTACCACTTTTAAAAAATGTTATAAATTATACAGAAATGTTTTCTCTATTATATTATACTTTGAATTCTTTGAGAGGTAGAATCAGGTAGCCTCGGCTGATGCTCAAGGAGCGAATTAGTTTATATGAGCTAGTGAAAAAAAAACTCACTCCTACCTTTGTTCTATTATCTAGGGGCAAGGGCACTCAATATTTATATTATTTGTTATTTGTCTTAGTTACATATTCATATTATTAGTCAGAATAAAACATTCGTTTGTCAAGTTTAAAATAAAGTGGCCTAAAAGAATGGCATAATGTTTATCTGAGAAATGCAAGGTGGCCTTCTTCTATATAATAGGACGAGTGAGTTAATAGAATTAATTAGTTTCAACATTTAAGTAAATTTGGCCGTAGAGCAGCATAATAAAATATGTGACTTTTTGGGGGGCGGGAGGGTGGATATTTGAATATTAGCTCATGAGTTTCTAGATGAAGACATCCAAAACATCACAGTGACCCTTTGGGTCTGTCATCCTTTACAGTTACTCCAGACTTTGGTGGTGAGAAGTAGACATTGCACCTGTGTGTTTACTCATTGTTTCCTTCCTTTCTCCTGCATGTTTACAGCCAGCCCCTGACGCTGAAGTGGCTGCAGACCTGGTCCCTTCCGTCGCAGTGAAGGTATTGTACCGTGGTTCTAGGCTGTAGCCTGCAAGCAATATCACACATTCCATCACCTCTGTCACCCTGTAAATAGCCTCTGGAAATGCCAAACACACACTTGACATTCCTACCATTTCCTCAGCCTTAGGGGGGTGAATCAATAACCTTCATTGTTTTCTACAAATATAAAACTGGTAATTGCATTCATAGCAGTATACAGATAATGTAAACGATTGTTATTCTTATTTAAATATGTTATATAATCTGGGATCTTTTTATCTAGATACAAAATTAATACTAACACATGCTAAAGTATGTCATCGCCATAGACCAACCGGTGTCATAAGAGACCGATCAGTTGATTGAAGCATCATGTATATACAGGGGAATTATGTGAATGCTAATAATATCTTTCTCTCATGTATGATTTTATGTGGGTTGGAAAAGAATTTCCAGTCATCTATCTGCCATAATATTAGCTTTGAAGGGGTGTATTTATAGCAAGAACATATTAAATGAAGAAGCCACAAAGTAGAGTAGTGACAAATTGATAGTCCTAAAAAAAAATAGAGTATGAAGGATGTGGTTTTGGTTAAAAGTTTTAGTCCTGTCATTGTAGAATTTTAGACTAGAACTCGAATGTAGAACCCTCTTAAGGCATTTAGATTAAAGTGTGGTAATCAGTCAGCACACTATTAAGCTGAAAATATTTATCACTGCCCAGACCTCGGAGCCAGGAAAAGTTGTGGATCTTGGCGATTTGCTTAGTCAAAACTTGGACAGGGCTTTATATTTTCTTAGATTATGGGTTGCTGTCCTTGGAGGAGCTTGACAGAGTACCAGGCTTTACCAATTGTGTTCGCTTACACTGGCCCCAGCGGGTGGCCCTCGTGTGGGGACCTGCGGTAGAAGTTGAAGGGAGCCCAATCTTTTAACAGTTTCCTAAGCTAATTTTTTTGGATTCTTGCCACTGGAAACAAGGGTGGTCTTTCCCCAGTCTTCCTCCCCCCTATTCAATCAAAGGCTCTATCTCATTAATACTTCTGAGTCTGGAAAAGCATTAGTGGCAAGAAATCAAACACATAAGAAAAAAACCCTGCAGAGTTCCAGGAATGATCTATAGACTTTTGTGCGGGGAAACCCTTTTCATATCTATCTACTGATATTGTTCAGACACATACACATAATAATTCAGGCGCACAGTATAAGTTGCAAAAAAGTCGTGTACCTAAACCAGATAGCGTTGCTCATGCTAATTCCCCCCCAACCGCTACTTGTTGCTGTTAAGTAAACACACCTTTCTATCCCATGCAGTTCTTAGTCTTTCCTGTGTAATAGCCACCTTAAAATGACGGCATGGCACTACTGGAGAATTCTCTTTCATTAGTGGAATTTACTATGCTTGAGAATGACTAAGTCATTCCTAACTCCCTTGCTTAGTGCCATTGTAAGAGCCCAAGACAGAAGGCAACGCGTGAGTGTCGCACAAAGTCAGCGGCACTGACACAGCAGACGCAATGACTTCCTGATTCTGTCTGACAGTTTCTGTACACGTTTCTGCTATAAATCTCTTCTTATAGCCTTTTATAACAGCAGCCGCCAAGATATATAACCATGCAAGTTTCCATCATAATAAATCCTGTTAATTGAGAAAATGTTTCCATCCGTTCCAGTGAACGAAGATGTGGCTGCCTTGAGTATGTGTGCATGATGTGCGAGTGGTCGTTCCTACCTGGCCTTTGCAGTCGTAGTTTTATATCTAGGATAAAATTTGGTATTATATTTCCTAAAGATCATATTTCATTTTGTCAGAAGCGGAAAATAGCATGGAAAATTCTTGTATTAATGTTTTATATTTTTCCCTTAATATTTTATAATTATTTTTCTCTTAAAATATGAGGTCTATGATCTAGCCAAGACGTTAACTCTTTTTTTTGGCTCAAACACAAGTCTTCTTTGTTACCGTAGTTATTTTCCTCACACATCTTCTTGCTTCACTTTTGAAAGTGCCTAGCCCATTGTTAGGGTTCACTAAATCCGTGTATGAGAGCAGCTACGATTGATCCTGGGTCTCAGCCAAACGGAAACACTTCCGTAACGATGTAAAACTGTGTGATCTTTGTCGAAGTGCACACTGTTAGGCCAGGCCACGTCAGATATCTGCTCTCTTACAAATGGCTTGTTACTGCTTTAAGGACTTTTCATTTTCACTCCTAAAACTAAGTTTTCAGCTCTCTTGTTCACATTGGCTTGATGCTCTTGGGGAATTATTTAGCTTCTTTGAATTTCTGTTTTTATTATTTATTTACTTTCATTTTTACTTTTTAAATTATATTTTATTGATTATGCTATTACAGTTGTCCCAATTTTTTTCCCTTTGCGCCCCTCCATCCAGCACCCCCCACTCCCTCGGGCAGTCCCCACACCATCGTTCATGTCCATGGGTCATGTGTATAAGTTCTTTGGCTACTCCATTTCCTGTACTGTACTTTACATCCCCATGGCTATACTGTAACTACCTATTTGTACTTCTAAATCACCTCACTTCACCTATTGCCCCACACCCTTCTCTGGCAACCATCAAAATGCTCTCCATATCCATGATTCTGTCTCTGTTCTTCTTGTTTGCTTACTTTGTTTTTTAGATTCAGTTGTTGATAGATATGTATTTATTGCCATTTTAGTGTTCATAATTTTGATCATCTTCTTTTTCTTAAATAAGTCCCTTTAACATTTCATATAATAATGGTTTGGTGTTGATTAACTCCTTTAGTTTTTTCTTATCTGGGAAGCTCTTTATCTGCTTCGATTCTAAATAATATCTTTGCTGAGTAGAGCAATCTTCACTGTAGGTCCCTGCTTTTCATGATTTTCAATATTTCTCGCCAATCCCTTTTAGCTTGCAAAGTTTCTTTTGAGAAATCAGCAGACAGTCTTATGGGAACTCCTTTTTAGGTAAGGCCCTGCTTTTCTCTTGCTGCTTTAAAGATTATCTCTCTCTTTAATCTTTGGCATGTGTCTTGCCAAATTAGGATGTGTCTGGGTGTGGGCCTCTTTGCATCCATTTGTTTGGGACTCTCTGTGTTTGCTGGACTTGCGTGTCTGTTTCCTTCACCAAATTAAGGAAGTTTTTTCTCATTAGTTTTTGAAATAGATCTCCAACTTCTTGCTCTTTCTCTTCTCCTTCTGGCATCCCTGTGATGCAAATGTTGGAATGCTTGAAGTTGTGCCAGGTTTTCCTTACACTATCTACATTTTTTTGGATTCTTTTTGTTTCTTTTTGTTCTGATTGGTTGTTTTTTTTCTTCCTTATGTTCCAAATCATTGATTTGAGTCTCAGCCTTATCCACTCTACTGTTGTTTCCCTGTAAATTGTTCTTTATTTCAGTTGGTGTAACTTTCATTTCTGATTGGATCTTTTTTATGCTGCTGAGATCCTCACTAAGTTCCCTGAGCATCCTTATCACTAATGTTTTGAACTCTGCATCTGAGAGATCGCGTATCTCCTTTTTGCTTAGTGGTTCTTCTGGAGTTTTGATTTGTTCTTTTATTTGGGCCACATTTCTTTGTCTCTTCATTTTGGCAGCCTGCCTGTGTTTTCTATGTATTAGGTAGAGCTGCTATGACTTTGTGTCTTGGTAGAGTAGCCTAATGTAGTAGGTTTCCTATAAGGTCCAGTGGCACAGCCTCCAGTATCACCCAAGCTGGGTACTTGTGCTGTGCCCTTCATGTGGGCTGAGCACTCCCTCCTTTTGTAGTTGAATCTTGGTTGCTGTTGGTAGGTCAATGGAAGGGATTTACCGAGACCAGTCAGTTGCAAGGACTGGCTGTGACCACTGACCATCAACCTCCACCCTCCATGGAGGATCAGCTGTGCAGGGGCAGGGTTGTGGTGCTTTTACATGGTCTGTAGCTGTTTACTGGGTGTGCAGGACCTGGAGTTTCCCTCATGGTGCAGGGCAAGGTCAAACAAGGCCCCTGCCTGTGTTTTGCCTGGGGCCACCCTGCCTGAGCTATAAAGCAATCTGAGATGGTTGCTCCTTGTGCTGGGTTGGCTATCCCAGGTGAAGCCAAGTTGAGGAGCTAGGCAAGCTGCTGCTAGTGCTGGGCCTGGGGCTCACTGGAGCCAGCTGTCGCTTGTTTGACAGGATTTAGGAAGTTGTGAAGCATGAGCTAAGACCAGCCATTCATATGGAAAAGTCACTGTTAAAGGGTGGAAGTTGGGCAGGATGGAGCCTCAAGGGATCTCCAGGGTGGAACAAATAGTGTTAGCCAGGTTGTTGGAGACTCAGATATGGCACCTGCCTGCTGGCCCTGTGGCTGCATGTAGAGAGGGTTCAGAAAAGGGAAAGTGGCCTCTGCCCACCTTTCTGTCTAGGATAAAGCTATCCCCCAGCTCTTGCCTCAATACCAGGCATTTCAGTTTCTCCCTGTATGCCACTGATGCCTTTCAAACTGGTAGGCCGGGGCTGGAGCTCAGAGGGAGTGGGTCTGAGTAAGTGCATGTGTGGGTTCTTTAAGAGGAGCTTCTTGGGACTCCAGAAGTTTCTTCCACCTACTTAATCCCCACTGGTTTTTGCAGCCAGAAGTTATGGGGACTTATCTTCCTTTCACTGGTACCCTGGGCTTGGGGGTCTAGTGTGGGACTGGGACTCCTCACTCCTGAGATACCCCTTCTGAATTTTTACCCACCACGCATGAATGTGGGGCCAGCCTGTTCTGCATCTTTGCCCCTCTTGCCAGTCTGGATGGATATGGTTTCTTTAATTCTGTAGTTGTCAGACTTCCATTCAGTTCAATTTCTGCTGGTTCTGAGTGATGGTTGTTCTATAATTCAGTTGTAATTTTGATGTGATCATGTGAGGAGGTGAGCTGTGTTCACCTATGCTGCTGTCTGACCAGATGTCCTGAACTTCTGTTTTTAAGCTGTAACATGGGGATACTTTTTCATTTGCAGAATTGTTTTGAGACTTAACCACAGTTGATGAAGAGCATGGGTTCTGGGTTTTGGCAGACAGAAGTTCAACTGTGGTTCCACCTCTCATAAACAGAATAGCCCTGAGCGAATTATGTAGCCTCTCTGAGCCACAGTTTTCTTTTCTATAAAATGGTATAGAGTAGTAGTAGCTGTTTCACTATGTTGTGAATATTAAATGAGATAATACACATAAATACTTTACTAGCATGGTTGTATGAATATGGAAAGCTGCTAATGGTTATCATTACTATGATTAATTTAATTTTAAAATATATGTATAGACTAGCATTATATTATTATTAATATAAAAATATTTAAATTGTGTCTGTATATTCAGTGGACTAGGTATTTGAAAGAATGTTGTCTGTAGTGCATATATCGTTTCTTCTCATAATTGCCATCAGGGTTTTATTAAAAAGGTATTATAATGTCAGATGTCATTTAGGAAGCTTTTTGAGATGCATATTCCCCTCACATGTTCTCAGGGCTTATAAAGTAAAAATTGAGGATTGATTGTTCATTTGCTGTGTTTATTGTATTTATTTGCATTGAATAGTGGTCTTTAAAAAATTTTACTTTGCAAATCAAAATTTTTATGTTTAACTTATTTTTCAGTTGTATCGAATACCCACATTATTTAAAATTAAGACACTTACTGAATCTAATTACATATGTATAATGTTTGTAGGCCAGTTGTATATTGCTGTATATTGTTTCTCTCTCTGTCATATGCATGTACATATATGAAATCTGTCCAGAAGGTGTCCAGCCATGTAAAATGAAAAATAGAGACATTTATTGAAGAAGATACAAGATCCAAGAAACATTGTACATAGGACAATAATGCCTCAGTCTCCTTCAGATGAGGCACCTTGGGACCTCCCACAGTTTTCTCAGTGTCTCTTCCACTGTTCAAAACGCTCTGCAAAATCCTTTGTTGGAATCACCTTTGGATGTCTTCTTGTATTTTCCTGTATCTCGACAGTCTGAAATCTCTTCCCTCTCAAAGGTGCTTTTAGTTTTGGGGAAAGGCCAGAAGTTGCAGGCATCGAATCTGGCCTGTAGGGGAGCTGAGTCACCTGGGTGATTTGATGTTGCACCAAAAAACCCTGCACGAGTCTTGGTACACGAGCGGGCGCATTGTCGTGATGAAGCTGCCAATCACCAGTTACCCATAGCTGTGGCCTTCTGAATCATCCAAATAGTTTCCACAGAGGAATGGTCAAGATTAGTGCAAAATTTGATGCAGATTCATTGCTTTTGTAGCTCAGTCATTTTGAATGGGACGGCCACACAGCACACATGCTCACTCAATGGTGTCTACCACCCACTGACTAGTACGCCATTGTTCTCACATGCACATTCAGTCCACTCTCCTTGGCTGCCAGGTTACATCGGTATTGAGCAAACTGTTCTCATTATATTAACAGTGGCTGGGCTTTTTCTGGACAGATCTCATATAATTAAAGAATAGGTGATAACGTGCCTTTTAAGAGAAAGTTTAAAACTATTTTTATTAAAAATAAGTATGCTCTTGCATCATGTCAATTAATAATGAAATGTATCTGTTCATATACTAGAGTCTAGTAACTAGATTGAACTGTTCTGTAGCAAAGGTGCTAGGTAGGGGGTGCTTCTCAACTTTGATAATAAATAGGTATCACATAAAGAGCTATTAAAAAATTACCAATACGCAGGTCTATTGTGGCAAGTCTGGCTTACCACACCAGCCATGTGAACTCATCCAAAGGAGACTATTCGGAGAAGCTGGGACATTCAGGAGACAACATCTAAAGGGAGGGCATGCCCAGCGGAAGCGAGGTTGTTAGGCCTTTTCTTTGATAGCCTGAAAATGATGCCCCTTATCGCTGGTCCAGTCAAGGTCGTTGGGCCTGATGGTTTGCTTCTACTGATGCTTCGCCACAGGAGCAGTGAGAGAAGTCCTGGCCTTCTCTGCCCGTCCCCAGCCCTCTTCCCAGATACACTGTTGCCCCACAGTTCCCAACTATTGCTTCTCATCGCAGTGGGAAGGTTTCATAGTGTCCAACAAGGGCACCAGTTTGGAAATCCAGCCAGCTTAGAAATGCAACAGTGAAGATTGCCATTCTTTGATATTTTCTAGAATTAGTTATGTCAGATATTTTTGTGGTAAGCCATGGAAGAAAATATAGTGCTTTGATATGTATCTAAGCTAGTAAATATCCACCTAGTAAGGAAATCTCTAGAGTATAGTTAACTTGTGTAAAAGGCAGTATACTAATACTGGATAAGATAAATAATTCATGATGCCACATCTGTGTATGAAAAGCAGAATGAACACATATTTCATGACATAATTATTTTATCAGCCATGGAGGGCAGATTATTTTTTTCTTTCGACAGAACATTTTTAAGTTAAAATTGAAAAAATTTAAATTAAAAAAGTTTTCAATTATAGTTGGCATATTGTAGTAGTTTCAGGTGTACAACCTAGTATTAGATATTTATATATACAAAGTTAAGAATAAGGATAGACTATTTTTAATAGTTTTATTGAGATATAATTTGCATATACTTACTCATTTCGAGTATATTAATTCAGTGGTTTTTAGTGTATTTGCAGAGTTGAGGGCCATTGCCACAATTTCCCTGTAGACCATTTTCATCCCCTCCCCATAAACAGCGCCATATCCATCAGCTGTTACTTCCTGTTCCCTTCCTCTCTTGCATTCCCTACCTCATACCCCCTACTCCTTTCCTCAGCAGCTGCAACTCTATTTTCTGTTTGTATAGATTTGTCTGTTCTGGACATTTCATATAAATGGAATAATACAGTATATTTTTTTTTTGTGACTGGCTTCTTTTACTTAGCATACTGCTTTTAAGGTTTGCTGATATTGTGGCATGTGTCAGTATTTCATTTCTTTTTATTAATAAATAGTATTTCATTGTATGGATATCGTGTATTTTATTTACCCATTCATCAGTTAGTTGATGGACATTTGGGTTTTTTTCTAATTTTAACTATTATGAATAATGCTAGTTTTAACATTTGTGTACAAGTTCTTTCATGAACATATGTTTTCATTTCTCTTGGCATGGAGTTGTAAGACTCTATGGTAAATTGATGTTTACTTTTTAAAAGAAACTGTCAAACTTTTTTTTGTGTGGCTGTATTATTTTACATTGCTATGAGCAATATATAAGAGTTCTAGTTTCTCTATGTTCTTTCTGATACCTGTTTTTGTCGTTTTGATTGTAACATGTTAGTGGTTGTGTAGTGGTATCTCGTTGTGGTTTTAATTTGTAATTTGTAGTGATTTAAAATATTGACATGTTTTCATGTGCTTTTTGGCATTTCTTACATCTTCATTGGAGAAAAGTCTGTTAGTTCCTTTGCCCAGTCTCCAACTGGCTAGGATTAATCTACTGCATATGTTACATGTTATGTTTTGTGACTACTTATTTTTTCTCAGATGATGTTTGCTAATTATTTGCTAGTGATTTTCTTAAGTAGTTGAGATATTTATTAATTTGGGTAGAATGTAATTTTCAATTAATAATAATTCCTGCTTCCTTAGGTTACGCTGCAGAGCAGAGTGGCATTGCAAAACGCCAAGCTCTCCGTCCACGTGCAGCCACCTTTAGTATTGTCATGTGACCGATTCACTTTTCAATCGATGGGTAAGTGTTCTGTTTTGGCCTAAAGTCTATCATGGTGTGAGGGCTTTTTTTTTTTTTTTTTTTTAAATTAAAAAATGTTTTATCAGTGTGCTTATATTTCATGGATATATTTCCGTCTGAACCATAAGGCTGGTATCTTCCTGAAATTAATGCTTGCGTTGTTTTGCTTACAGATTTTTTCCCCCTAAGCATCAGCCATGGACATTCAATGCATAGTTGCTGAGTCTGAAGTTAATTACAGATTTCCAAGTGCTTTCCTTAACTAGATGGACCTGTAATTGTACTTAAACACTATAATTTGGAAGGCTTTCTTTATTGGTGTTTCTCTAGTGAGCTATTTATTGAATCAGTAATGTTTGAAGAAAGAATATTGACTTTGGAGTCCGGCCTGGGTTTGAACCCTGGCCCTGACTGTCGCTCTGTGTGTCGCCTCGGGCAAGCTACCTTCGGAATTACGTGGAGCCTCAGTTTTTTTAACCTGCATAAAGGGGATAATGGTGTCTCTCTTGTAAGACAAGTCATGGCTGTTTTGAGGATTTAATTAAAAATGAATCTGTGTAATACATCTGCAATAATGCCTAAAATAGTAGACAGGTTGTAAATGGCAACTCTTATTCTTTGCCTGGAATCTCTTATCCCCTACCACTTACATCTAAGTTGTCATTAGTCCAGTTAAAGTGATTTCTAAATTATTTTTAAGCCTTTTTCTTTACTGCCACTGTTCAGCTGGGGATCCTAGGTCTTACTGAAGTCAAGAAAGGCTCTCTCTTTTTCGCCTTTGTATAACCAACCCTTAGCTAGGTGCCTGGCTGATGGTGGGAACTCAGTAAATACTCATTGAATGAGCGAAGGAATAGTTGAATGGCTGAAGTAGCCTTGGGGGTGATATCCAACCATTGGTTTCTCACTTCATTTCTAATTTTTCATAATACTTCCAATGTACCTTTTTAAAATACATTCTTGAAACACTTATTTTTCCACTTAAAAACCTCTTATGGCTCTCTAATGCAGATTGGAGGTCAAATGGTGCTTATAAAAGGCTATACACAATCCGCTGAGTCCCTCCTTCCATTTTCCCTGCCGTCTGCGTTCTAACCATGATGAAGTGCTGCTCCTCACTCCCGAGGCCCTTGCTCTTTGTGTACCTTTTTCTCTGTTCATGCTGCCTGTTCCTCTGAGTAATGAGAAGCACCAGGGTAGAATGTTAGGCACCTTGCCCGGGAGTCAGTCCCTCGCTGGGCGTTCATCATATGACCTTGGGCAAGCCTTGTCATCTCTCTAGCCAGATTTCTCCTGGGAAAAAAGAAGAAGAGGAGAAGAAGAAGTGGGGACAGTAATACCACCCATCTTATAGGGTTGTGAGGATTACATGACTTAATCGATATAAAGTGCTTGCGTAGTAGCTGGCATACAGACTATTCATAATTTTAACTGTTGTTAATAATCGCTGTCCAAAGTGATATAACCTGATGTTACTTTCACATTGCCTACAGCACCAGAGATGACTAGAACAGTAGCCTTTTCTGTTTATCTGAAAGGAAGTTTTTCACCACCTGAACTAGAAGGAAATGCTGTTGTTTCTTATTCCAGACCAACAGGTAAATATAGTTGTTCAGGAATTTATAAGATTAATCAATCACTCCTTTGCACTTGTTGGAATTATGAGTCAAATGTTTAAGGGTTAAGATGGAAAAACACATTGTAAAATATTCGTAAATGAGAAAGTATTATTTTCTAGTGCTAAATAATTGTATGTCCAAATTACTTTCATGTGCTACAAATAATTAGTGGTAAGTCTATTTAGCTGATTTCTATACATAATGTTTGATTCTATCTTTTCAATTAATAGCAAATGTGATATATTTTTACTATCACTAGAAGCACGCTATGTAGTTAGACTTCACCTATATGAACAAAAGAGAAAAGTCTAGTCTGAATAAATGAAAGAGACTATCATGGATTCCCCCAACATTAGGGAAATATTTAGTTTTAGATATTGTTTTAGTGACTAACACTCTTTAGTATCTTACATGTTACAATATTTAAGACCAGATCTACTGATGTTTGATTGTATTTTTTCAAAAAGCTCTTTTTAGATTAAAAAGCTTATCTTTAATAAAATGGTGGTTGCCAAGGGTTGGAGAGGTGTGTAAAATGGGAAGATGTTGGCCAAAGGGCGCACGCTTCCTGTTCTGATGTGAGTAAGTTCTGGGGGTCTAATGTAGTGTGGTGACTGTAATTAACAATACTGCATTATATACTAGAGGGTTGCTAAGAGAGTAGATCTCAACTGTTATCGCCTCATAAAATGGTAATTATGTGAGGAGACAGAGATATTAATTAACCTTATTGTGGTGATCTTTATGCAGTATTTACATGTATCAAATCATCATGGGGTATATCTTAAACTTACATATATGTCAATAATATCCCAATAAAAATCTCAATAAAGCTGGAAAAGGGAAAAATATTATCTTCAGTCCAGTTGAGATTTAGTTATCATCAGTTTCAACTAAATTGGGTCAATTTTATATATTTTTCCCTGTATAATGAAGTTTCCCTAGTAATAGTCTGACAATTATTTGATTGGTAGATAAAGAATAATTTGTCATTGCTTTCTAAAAAATGCCTAAATGTAGTGTAACTGATAATCGGGTATTTCAGCAATGTTGCTTTTGTTTTTTTAAAACATTCTTTATAGTTTTTAGTTTTTTCCTCTATTGAGGGCCACGTTGCTTATTTTAGCAATTTAAAAAAATACTTTGTTGATTATGCCATTACAGTTGTCCCAATTTTTCCCCCTTTGCCCCCCTCCACTCGGTACCCCCCATTCACTCTGGCGATCCCCCCCAATTTAGTTCATGTCCGTGGGTCATGCGTATGAGTTCTTTAGCTACTCCATTTCCTACACTGTTCTTAAGATCCCCCTTTCTATTTTGTACCTACGAATTGTGCTTCTTGGTCCTTGCAACTTTCCCCCGATTCTCCAACTTCCCCCTCTCAACTGATAACTCTCTAAATGATCTCCATATCTATGATTCTGTTTTTGTTCTGCTTGTTTGCTTGGTTTGTTTTTTAGATTCAATTGTTGATAGTTGTGACTTTATTGCCATTTTAATGTACATAGTTTTGATCTTTTTCTTTAAGAAGTTCCTGTAACATTTCTTATAATAATGGCTTGATGATAATGAACTTCTTTAGTTTTACCTTGTCTGGGAAGCACTTTAACTGCCTTTCATTTCTAAATGAAAGATTTGCTGGATAGAGTAATCTAGGCTGTAGGTACTTGATTTTCATCAATTTGGATGCTTCCTGCCAGTCCCTTCTAGCCTGCAAAGTTTCTTTTGAGAGATCAGCTGACAGTCTTAGGATAGTCTCCTTTGAAGGTAACTGTCTGCTTTTCTCTTCCTGCTTTTAAGATTCTTTCTTTATCTTTAACCTTTGGCATTTTATTTATGATGTGTCTTGGTGTGGTCCTCTTTGGGTCCATCTTATTTGGGACTCTTTGTGGTTCCTGGACTTGTATGTCTATATCCTTCACCAAATTAGGGAAGTTTTCTTTTATTTTTTCAAATAAGTTTTCAATTTCTTACTCATTCTCTTTTCCTTCTAGCACCCCTATGTTTCAACTGTTGATATGTTTGAAGTTGTCTTAGAGATTCCTTAGCCTATCCTTGTTTTTTGGGGATGTTCTTTTTTTTTTCTTGCTCTTCTGATTGAATGTTTTTTTCTTATGTTCCAAATCATTGATTTGATTCTTGGCTTCATCAACTCCACTGTTGGTTCCCTGTAAACTTTTCTTTATTTCACTTAGTGTAAGCTTCATTTTTTTCCTGGGTATTTTTTATGCTGTTGAAATACCCAGTGAGTTACTTAAGTATTTTAATAACCAGTGTTTTGAACTCTGCATCTGTTATATTGCTTATCTCCATTTTGATTAGTTCTTTTTCTGGAGTTTTGTCTTGTTCTTTCATTTGGGCCATGTTTCTTTGTCTCTTCATTTTGGCAGCCTCCCTGTGTTTGTTTTTATGAATTAGGTAGAGCTACTTTTACTCCTTGTCTTAGTAGCATGGCCTAATGTAGAAAAGCATACCTGTAAGTTGGAGGGGGCAGAGCCATAGGTAATCACCTGGGCGAGGCAACCTGTGTGAACCAGGTTGATGGACTCTCTGATATGGTGTCACTGCCCTATGGCTCTGTGGGGGGGAGGGCTCAGAAAGGGGACAGTGCTGCTGCCTGGTCTCTGGAGTTTTTTGGGGAGGAAGCTGTTCCCTGCCACTTGCCCTGATGCCAGACACTTCAGTTTCTTCCCCGTATGCCACTGGTGCCCTTCTAGCTGCTACCAGGGGTGCCCTCCCAGCTGCTGCCCCTGTGCTGGGGCCCCGAGGGAGTGAGTCTGCATTAGTCCTGAGTCTGTTGTGGGCCCTTTAGGAGGGAACTCCTGAGAATCGCACAGTGTCTTCCACCGCCCCAACCTCCACTAATTTTTACAGCCAGAGTTATGGGGACTGACCTGCCTGGCACTGGAATCATGGGCTGGGTGGTCTGGTGTGGGGCTGGGATGCCTCACGCCTGCTGTATCCCTCCTGGCTTCATCCCCCACACATGGGTGTGGGACACGTGGTCTGTTACATGTCTCCGCATCTCCGCCCCTCCTACACAGTCTGGATGCATGTGACTTTATTGTCAGACTTCCATACAGCTTGATATTTTGATGATTCTGGGTGATAGTTGTTTTATAGTCTAGTTGCATTTTTGCTGTGGTTGTACGAGGAGGTGAGCAGTGTTTACTTACACCTCCATCTTGACTGGAAGTCTAAATCCTTTAGCAATGTTTTTAATAATTGTAGTTTTTATTTTGTCTACATGAATTTTTGGTCTTATGCATTGATAATTCTGTGCTCTGAGATGATTTTATAACTTTAGTACATGTTTTGAAAATCTGTTCTTTCTGCTTTGTAAGCTATTTTGCTTTACATTTTTAAAAAAATTCATTTTTAGCCAGAGGTGACCACTTTAGCCATTTACTTATGCTTTCAAAATTTGAGGTTACATAAATACTTTATGTTTAAATGGCTTTGAGAAAGATGGCTTTAGAAGAAAATACAAAACTTCAAGGAATCAAGGCGTGATAGACTTTTTTAGTATGAGATATTTCTGAAAAGAACATAGAACTTTTCAATGTTATTTTTAGTTGTGAACTAAAGAAGTAAGATATATTTGGCTAAAATCTCTAAATTATTTATTGCTAATTGACCATCTCAAGATCATAGGCATTGTTATACTTTTTTTTACCCTTGTTACACTTTGAATATGTAGCTGTAGAGACTTTGATGCCTTTATACAAGAAGTTATTTCATTTGTTCTCAAGGAAAAGTAGTGACACTGTTTGAAAATAAATTTAAAATAGCAAAATCGGTTACATATTACATGGATAAAATGGTTAAAAATACATTATAAAGTTGTAAAATATGTGTGTGAGCTCATTGTTGTACATACTGCTTTTGGCTATTTTGTTTTTCTATAGTCAGAATTTAAAAGATTATAAATTATTGCTAAACCAAAGAGCATAGCATTATTTGGTTGAAAAGTAATTAGAAATTCAAGTAAAAGAAGTCTATAAAAGTAAGACAATGTTAAGAAGAGACATTATTCTGTAGTAGTATCTACTGACTGAAATCATAATATAAGAAGACTAATTGGAAATATTAATATTATTATGTATTTGGCCTTTCACTTGACTTCCCCCCCCCCAACAATTCATTTAATGCTCTTGGTGCCATTTACATACTGAGTTTGGTTTGCTGTTTGGCTAGATCATATATTTTTACCTCTTTTTGCCACATTTATGCTAGAATGACAGTCTGTCATGGACTTTGAGAATGGAAGTACAGATATATTGTTAGATTTCATTTATTCATGTTTTCCTCTTCTATTGTGGATTAACTTAACTATTAATGGAGAGCCATTTAAATCATCAGTGAGAATCTTGAAAGTTTTAATTTATATTTTTAAGCAGATATGTATTAAATTTGTGTTGTAATTGCACCACTGATAATTTGTTCCATTCTTTCTCCCCCACCCTTTTTGCATTGCTTCTGATGGAAAGATCGAAATCCTGAAGGTAAGAAGATAATTTATAACAAAATGAATTTCTGAACTAAAATGTGGTCAGTGAATTGAATGGGTATTATACCATGCATTAACTCTTTTTATGGACTGCTATTTTAACTATAGAAACCTCTTTAAGCATGATTCAGTTCCTCGATCCTGCTGTGGAGGGTACACTAGACCTTTCCTTTCATAGAGTCTTGTCATTCAGTATTAGTTGTTTCAGAATCATGAGAAAGAGAAAAGCTCCATGACTCTTTTCAAAAAAAGAAAAAAAAAATCATGTGTCATTGACAAGTTGTTTTTGTAAGTCATCGGTAATTTACCTGCACGCTCTGTTATTTTATTTTACTAAAATAAAGAAATAGTAAGGCACAAAGAATGTTTGCCCCTGAATTCTCAACTGTCTGTTTTCTATGTGCCCCAACAGAGCCACTTCTGTCTCTAATCAGAATGCCCTGCGCACTCATTCTGTGGGCCTATTCTGTGTCCTGTTTAGAATTTACGGGGGACTGTCATCAGAGATCTGACCCCTTGAACTTGCTGGGTCAGTGTTGTTACCCATTCTGCATTCCCCAAAACCTTTATCACTCTGCTGTAGGACATGTCGTAATATGAATTTCATTGCATTCGTTCCTTAGATTCCCCTAGTAGGTTTTGATCTTTTCGAGAGCAGGGTTCAAGCACTTGTCATTGAATTATACAATATTCGGGTAAATGACAGGCTCTATAAAAGAATCTTCTAATTTGGTTATTTTCCTTCTATACACTAAGGTGGTTTACCTTAGTATTAGCTATTTTAAGACAAATATTAGATAACAATGTTAATTGTTAATAAATACATAAAATACTTAATAATGGCAGTATTTCCTCATACAGCTTTGGTGATGCCAGCAACCTGAGTTGCATAGTATTTGGGAGGTGAAAATGTACTTTTGTGAGAAATATTTTAATAGGAGTATGTGATTAGCTTAATAACATAAAGTAAACCTGTCAAATTAGAATTTGGGTTATTAAAAAACCTATTATTAATATTGAATATTTATATTTTACTTTGCAAGATTGCATGCAACTGATAAGCTTTGCACTAACTTTTGTAAAATACCATATTACTATTTAAGTGATTTGTTTTAAGTTTAAAAAAATAAGTAAATGTTATTATTGAAAGTAATATATTCTGTCTTACTGCAAATTCAGTCCCAACCATCAGGGAAAAAACTCACAATATATGGAAATTTTAGTATTTTAATACAAAGCTAAAGCTAGTTTTAATACTCTGTTATGATGTATTTTAAAATTATAATTAAGCTGTGGGGAGTAGAGGTGAAATACTCAGCTTCATCTAGTAGGCAAGAAAATAACGTGTTGCCACATAGCTCTCACTACACACAAGGCTTCACATTTCAAAGACTGGTCCATTTTGTTGGCCCGGTCTGTCCAGGCTACATTGCAGATAAGCATTCTTGCTTTTACATGTGGAAAGAGGGAAGCAAACGAGGTTTTCTGCTCTCCGGTAAGAGTTAGTCTCCATTATTTCTGCATTAAAGTCACATGCCATGAGCAGTGTAAACCAGGAGTGCAGATGGAGCACAGTACGTAGCCAGACATAACAGGAAGGGATCAAGGAAGTTCTGGCTACCAGACAGTGCTACTGCTTGGGGTTCCTTGTTTTCAGTGCGAAATGACTCTAGCAGACCCCTGGAAAGAGCGCTGCCGGCACCATGCAGACATGTACTGCGTATACGTAGTTATTCTACTCTGACATACATGTTCTTTTCTCTCTCTCGTTGAAAGCACATTTTGGTTTGTCTTTTGACAGTGATACTGGGCTCTTGGGCGTGCCAGGTGTAATTAGAATTCTCTTCGTGGAAAAATTGTTGCGTCAGGACTGGTTTTGATGTGGAGTTTCTTTCTACATGTTAAATAATTTTGTGATTAATTGCACCATAGTATTGTAGATGCGACTATCCATTTCCTCTAATAGGCCAGAGAGGGAAGTGTTTGAAGGAGAGGTGATTATATTTGGTGAAAACTGCAGCTCAGTCAGGCTGATGAATGAGTAGACCAATATTTGAGTATTATAAATGACCAAATTTTTCTTTTCTCTCAGCGTAACATTCAGAGTTGAATAAGCCCATTTGCCAACTATGTAGAGAAAATATTGTTGATGGCCGGCAATGTTAGGACCAGTGAGGTGCTTTCAGCTAGTTGGAAAGTCTTTAAATACATGTAATTCCTTCCTCCCTCTTATTACAGATACACGCATGCATACCCTCACACACACCTTCAAGTGTCTCTGGCTTCAGGTTCTCAGATTCCATCATAGCCTAAAGAGTAATTGGTAGCCAAATTCACATTTCAAGATCCTCAAAAAAATGTGAATTTCAATAGAAATGTGCCTTTCTGATAAACCTCATGACTAAATACTAGAGATTCTGTTTTGAAATGCTTGAGTTTTAATTTGATGGGAAGTAATATAAAATACTGGCACTGTGATTTTCCTTTTTAAAGATATGGTTTCTTTAAACTGCTTTCTAAAGGATTTCATATTCATCACCACCCCCCCACCCCATGGTAACACTTTTCAAGCTGCCATCATTTAAAAAATGGCCATAATCATTTTATTCAGTACAAGTGTCATCATTTTTCAAAATAATGTTTTCCAAATGTCCTATGAACAGGTTTACAATTTCTGGAGAAAAAATGAAATTCTGGAGAGGTTCTACAAATCTGAGCAATTTCAGATCATTGCCCAAATGCGTGATACTGTCATTAACTGACCTAACTGAGCTAATTGAGTTATAATATATTTCCCTTGTTGGGTTAGTTGGTGCTTGCAGTCCATTTGTTTCAATTTCTGAGAACATATATACACCACCAGTTTCTTTAGTTCTGGGTTCTTAGAGATTTAGTAACAATCTTTAAATATAGACTCACTAACGTAAAGCAAGTGTTGATCGTGATTAATTAGTAGTAGTATTTTTTACCACAAATTCAATCAGTTCCTGGTCCAAGTGAAATACAGCTACAGTTTTAGCCATATAGTTTTAGAAGAACATTTACACCCAAATTTTGCTTGAACAATGAACTCAGACTTTCGTTCAAAGTATATAGAAGATAGCTTATTTTTGTGCATATGTGAAATTATCAGAAGATGGAGTTTTTCCTGTTATTCTGATCATTAAAAATGAAGGAAATGAAAGTACGTTTCAAATTTTTTTGTTCCTTTCAGTCTGCATCCATTAATTGAGACTATAATTTATATACTGTACAGGAAATATATTAGGTATATTTCCATAAATTTGGGGACATATGGAATATATGAAGTTGAAAAAATAATGCTTCAATTTGTCTCTTTTGTGGTGATATTCATAGTTGTGGTTTGAGCAGTAGCTTAGATCATGCTACCATAGTATTTTGAGTCAAAATATTTCACTGTTGTAAAGTGCAAATACACATGCCTTTAAAATCTCACAGAATGTCAGGAAATCATACTCTGGGACTTTTCTGAAGAGCCACCAGTTATAATTTGCATCTGGGATTTCAGGAGAAGTGAATTTAACATCTGTTGGTTATGAGCAAAAAATGAGCTATGTAAAATTTGATGGATAATAGATTATGTTGAAGAGAATGACAAATACGCTGCACATGCTCTGAAAAAGTATCTAATTGACCTCATATATCAATGTTTCCATTGCTGATGATCTCTCACTATCCCAAAGAATAAGTAATACTGAAAAGTATATACTCCCAGCTTGGACATAGAGCTCAACTCCACTCAACTCCAATTGGCTTTAACAAAATATATTGCTAATTCTAGGGATCCTACTTCAGGATCATGTCCCCAGAGTTGAACTGCTCTTATTTGGCTTTTTTATTAAGCTGCTCACTCACTCCACTGTAAAGAAATAAAGGAATTAATGTGGGGGTCCATCAGGTGGAGTCCAGCAGCATACAGAGAGACAGGTTTCTGTATATTATCTTTTATCTTACCCAATCAAAAATAGAATCATAGCCCTGGCCAGGTAACTGAGTTTGTTGGGGCATCATACTATGCACCAAAATATTCATTTGTTTGATTCCTGGTCAGGGCACATACCTAGGTTGTGGGTTCTGTCCCTGGTTAGAGTGTGTGAGGGAGGCAACTGATCATTGTTTCTCTCTCACATTGATGTTTCTCTTTTGTCTGTCTGTCTTTTCCTCCCTCCTTCTCCTGTCTCCCTTCCTCTCTCTAAAAATCAATGAAACATATCCTTAAGTGAGGAATTAAAAAAAAAAGAAAGAAGAATCCTAGAGTAAAAGGAGTGAAAACCAAAGTTGTAGAATTGCTTTTCTACATTTATATGTAGAGAGCCTAATTTGCTTGTGGTTTCTGTTTCATTATCTGTAAAAATAATGAAAGGAATGAATTTAAAAGCGTTTTAATTCTGTCCAGATGATGTGGCTCGGTTGGTGGGGCATCGTCCTGTGAACCAAAAGGTCGCTGGTTCTATTTGTGGTCAGGGTACATGTCTGGGTTTCAGGTTCGGTTCCCAGTTGGGCACGTACGGAAGGCAACCAACGGATGTTTTTCTCTCGCATCAACGTTTCTCACCGTCTCTTTGTCCCTCTTGTTCTAAAAGGAACATTTCAGTATGAATGACTCATGGACATGGACAACTGCATGGGGTTGACTGTGGGAGTGGGGGGTGGGCTGGGTAGAGGAGGGCAAAGGGGGAAAAATTGGGACAACTGTAATAGAATGACAATAAAAAATGAAAAAGAGGAATAAAAATATTTAAAAACTTTTAATTCTGACATAAAATTCCTTATTTGTATTTATTGTTCATTTACCTATTTCAATACCCCTGTATAGATAATGAAAAGTTTGGCAGTTGAGTGACTATGGAAGCCTTTCAAAGTGTCGCTTAACTGAGAAATGTGAAGTTCGGTGGACTGAGACAAATTTAATTCATTTGAAAGTAATGTTCTTCATATATAAAATGTCATTAACTTCAGTAGAACTTAAGTAGAGCAAATTCTGCCTTCATATTCATAATTTATTGCAAATGGTTAATTGTAACTTGGATTTTTAATAAGTAAAAAAAGCTAAACATTAAAGGACTTTTGGGGTAGAGAAATTGTTAGGTCATATAGAGTCTTTCTGATGTAAATTTCATAGTCATTGTTAATTTTAGCTAGTAGTCAACTTAGGTCTAGAACTTTGAAGGTCTTATTTTAAAGATCGCTCAATAATTGGCTATAAAATATATATAGGTTTCACTGTGATGATTTTTAAAATATGGTATTACTATTAAAGGCAGACTTCATGCCTGTGTTCATTTTTAAGATTTTAATTTTGCCTTTCACTTAAAAAATTCTATAGTACTCCTTATTTTTTAATTTTTAAATTACAGTTGACATTCAATATTATATTAGTTTCAGGTGTACAGCATAGTGGTTAGACATTTCTATAACTTATGGAATCATCCCTTCGATATTGCCTTGCAATTTTTGACAATAATATAAAAATGTGAATTATGATAGTGTGCTGTTATTTCAGTTATTTTAGACAAAATGGCCAGCCAGCAAACTTTTAAACTAAGATATGTTGCTAGTCAGATGATTAGCAGTACAGATTTTTTGTGTGTGAAATTATTTGTCAAATCTCTGACTCCGCATTTCCCTCTTTTTATTTCAGGCATTCCTCGAGTTAGCCAATGTAAATTTAGACTTCCCCTGCAACTTGTCTGCCTACCAGGTCAGCCTTCAAAAATTGCAAGCCACAAGCTGACTATCGATACCAACAAATCTCCAGTCAGCCTTCCCAGTCTCTTTCCAGGTAGGACTTTTGAAGTAACATGCCTGTACTATCAGAAATGTGGAGAATTTAGAATGGAATCCTTCATCAGCAGGTAATGATGGGGTAATTATCAGATAATTGTTAAGTCAGAATATAAAAATGCCCCCAGGATTTTTTCCTTGCCTGTTCAAAGGCGAATAGCTTATATCAACAAGGTAATAAGGTACCTTTTAAGTTTGATTAAAATTAGTATAATAATTATTTTGCTTCAGTATTCAGAAATGAAAACATCAAATGTTTCTTCTTAGACTGTGGAATTTTTTGGCTTGGAATGTAAATATTTATCATTTCCATTGTCGGTTTTTGGCTCTGTACCGTTCCAAAGTAGAGGCTTGTGCCCCCGAAAAGTAATTGCTTAAAGTAGGTGCTCCCTCCGTGGCCCTGTCATTGGCGGCCGCTGGAGGCGGCGACTGTTCACTCTCAGGCTCTGATCGTTAGAAGGGGCTTCGTACGTAAAGCTTCACTCTCACAGTGAACCTTTGGGGTGACTTGTGAAGGTGTGACTTTCTCCAGGTGTCCATTCTTCCTTCCTGAGTGCTTTAGAGAAAAGGGAGGCGCTAATTCGTTAAAACACCTTTAGTAACCAAGGTTTCTAATGTGTCCCATCTATTTACTTTCTTGGTGATGGGGTGGAATTAAAGAAACAAATCTGGCAATTCAATCAACCCTTTTAAATCCCTCATCAAAAATAGTCACTGTTGACTATGCGATGCACCCTCACCCTTGCTCTAGTGGGTAGGATTTAGAATACAATGAGTATTTCCCACAAGGTTTAGCAATTTATGGTAAGTCAACTTTAGTGTTATTAACTACTTAAAGTGCTTAAAATTTATTTCCCATTAATTTGAAGTGTTTTAAAAGCTTTATTTATGTGTAACTCTGAAAAGCCTTCAAAATGGAATGCTTTTTATTGCAATTGATCTATTTAGTTTGAGTTGAGTTTGGAGAGATTTATATGGGTTTTTAGCAAATAGTTTTGTACTATTTTCTCATTTTCTTCCCCTTTCTTTCCTTTTTAGTCAATTTTCTTATGACAAATTTGAATTATAAAAAGGGCAGAAGGAGTCACTGTCTTCATAACATCTTAAATAAATGCATTAATTCTGTGGGTCTCCTATACTCTCCAGGGAGCTTAGTAGGAAATTATATGTTGCACACTGAATTTATTGGTGCCTTTGAAAAAAGTTTAAGACTCTAGCTTCTGAGTAGTTGGTATTTATTTACTGCAGATGGATGACCCACAGAGGCAGAATAAGAATGCATGCTTTTGATCACAGAGTTAATCTCCGCACACTAGAGAAAGCTTAGGTAACTCATCCCTTTTTCTCCTGATTTGAGGCTTAATTGTTTTTGATATCATTGGTATCTTAGGCTTATCAGCATATATTTGTCACTTCATTTGTCACTTTAGAAATGGAACTCGATGACAGACTTTATTTTAGAAAAGACAGATTTTAAAAAATTTCCCTCAAGATATAACATATGTGATATAGTGTGTTCTTTTTGGAGTTCCTGGATTTGTGTTCATAGTGAACATGCTAGAAGCCTGTAACTGTTTAAAATAAGCTCTCTCATTACTTTTTCACTTTTCATCAGTACCTTTCACTTCTGGTATATATAAGACTTTTATATATTGATGCCAAAGTTGCTATGGAAAACCTACTTTTTAACTGAAATAAACAAAATTAATGAGCTTCATAGAGAAGAAATAAATCAACTTTTAATCAGCATCTCTTCCTATTTGTTTACTTCTGTTCTTTTTTTGGTAAGGAAGAAAAGGTATATTTAAAATAACTACTTTTTCTTATTATAAAAGAAATGTGAAATTTAGAAATGAATAACCAAAAAAAAAAGTTTGATCCAACTTCATTCTACATCAACATATAAAAGTCTTACCTATATGGTGAGTGAAAAGTACTCATGAACAAGGGAAAGTGAAAAGGTATTAAGAGTGCTTCTTTTTTTTTTTAAAGATTTTATTTATTTAGTTCTTAGAAAGAGGGGAAGGGAGAGAGACAGAGAGGGAGAGAAAGGTCATTGTGTGAGAGATACATCAAGGTTGCCTCTCACATGCCCTTAACTGGGGAACCTGGCCTGCAACCCAGGCATGTGCCTTGACTGGGAATCGAACATGTGACCTTTTGGTTCGCAGGCTCGCATTCGATTCACTGATCCACAGCAGCCAGGGCAAGAATGCTTCTTTTAAACAATTACAGGATTCCAGCATGTTCAATATGAACACACATCCAGGAACCCCAAGAAAAGAACACCTATATCCCACATGTTGGATCTAGAGGGAAAATTTTAAAAATCTGTTACTGGGTCCCAGACTTCAGTGATGCTCTGTTTTTTCAATCATTCTTTCTCCTAGAACTTTATTTTGGGTAGTTTCTATTGCTATACACTCAAGTACTTTTCTTCTGCTGTGCGTGGTGTGCTTGTATTGAATACTTTCACTCAATGTATTGACTATTTTTCATCTCAGACATCATAGTTATCATCTCTTAAAGTTTGATACGGGTCTTTCTTTTCTTCTTAAAATATCTTCCATGTCTCTAATATAACTTCTTTGAACACAGATAACAATATAATAACTTTAAACGCCCTTGTCTACTGACTCTGTCATCTGTGTTATTTCTGCGTTAGTTTTGAATGATTTGTTCCTTGTTATAGATTGTAATTTCTTCCTTCTTTGCATGTCCTGTAATTTTTGACTGAAGAACAGAGCTTCTGAATTTTCCCTAGTTGTGTGTCGAATATTTTAGTTTCCCTCTAAATATTCCTGAGCTTTTTTATTTTTTCTTTTTCCTGTGACACATTTAAGTTCCTTGAAAAAGTTTGATCCTTTCAGGTGTTTCTTCTAAGCTTTGTCAGGCAGGACGGGAGCACCACTTTAATTCTTGGGCAGACTTCGCCTCCTACTGAGGCCAGACTCTTCTATGAATTCTTCATGAGGCCTAGTGAATCAGGCCGGTTTATATCTGGCCAGTGAGAGCAGGGACTATTCCTGGCTCTCCATGGAATCTTCGATTCCATATCCCCTGTAATCTTTTTGGGTGTTTTTTCCCCTAGCTTCACATAATTTTCTTACAGACGTGTACTGATTAGTATTCTGATGTGTACTCGAGGGGCCCCCTGCAGATCTCTGAAGAGCTCCCTCTGCTGCTCTCTTGTCTCTGATACCTTGCCCTTGAACTTTGGCTACTTTGGCCTTTCCAGAGTCCTAACTCTCTCCCCTCTTCCTGGGGAGAAGGCTGGGCGGCCCCTTGGCCACCCCCCGCCCCCTGCGGCCCGGAGCTTTTTCTCCAGCAATCCAGCAATCGCAGTGCTCGCTTTGTTTGTTTCTTGTTTGTCCAGGATCATTGTTGTTCACTTCTTGATCCCCAGTGTCTTTAAAAAAGTGCTTCATATTTTTTGTTTCATAGTTTCAGTTGTCTTAGATAGAAGGGTGACTTTGGCTCCTGTTTCTCTATCTTGGCCTGGAGTGAAAGTCTCCAATATTATAATTTTTTGTTTATTTCGAGTCAGGATTCAAATGTGGTTCACTTTTTTGCAATTTTTGGATATGAGTTTTTGATGTCTTCTTTTCTGTAGGTTTCCCGCTTCAGCTCCCTTTTTAATTGTTTGTTGAAGAGCATAGATTATTTTTCCTATACGTTTCCCACACTTTGAATTTCACTGGTTACACCCTGTGATGTTGTTTAGTATTTTCTCTGTCCATCTTATTGCCTGTAAGTTGGTAGCTGTGGCTAGAGCTAATAGTCAGGCTTATTTTGACCACACTATTTAATGAATAGTGGTATATACTTTTAGCAGGGGATACATGGTAACTGCTTGTCTCTTTTTGTATGTGTATGATGGTAACGGCCTTTGATATTCAATGTGGAGATCCATTAATTGGTTGGAAGAAGAAAATAGTCATACTCCATTGTTTTTAAACTTCCTTCCATTTTTAGCGGGAATATTTCTAGATGGAGAACCTTTTTCTCATCTACCGTGGGTTGTATGGTACAGTCTGAGTAGGGTCATCAGCATAAATGCTTGGTTCTCTGTGTTTATTACTGACTTTAAATATGAGTTGACTCTCTAGAATCCTCCAAAACTGAGCTTTTGGCTTTTTTTTTTTTTTTTTTTTTAGTATCAGCATAAGCACATGCCTTTAATTCTATTTGATGTATTTTACTTCATTGCAGTTACTATCTTTTTTGATACTCAAATATTTTCATCTCTGGCCATGTCTTTAAATTGGCTCTTACATCCTTTTCATACAGCTCTTCTAGTCACTGATAGTTCCTCACTCTTGTTCTAGGTTCACCTCGTACATGTCCTGCCTTAGACCTAGGATGAACTAGCAGGAGAAAGGAAATTAGGTGACTTCAGAGGGTCTTTGTGGGGCAAAGGTTTTAGCCATTGGAAGCTAGCATGGAAATCAGTTAATATAGCTCATACATGGGCTTTAAACATGACTAGTGACATAGAAATATTTGTCATCAGCAAAGCTTCCTATGTCAGACATTAAGTGTTTTGCCTCATAGTTATATAAGGTGATTTTTTTGTTTCTTTTTTTTTTTCCTTGTAGGCTTTGCCAATCAGTCAGAAGATGATCAGGTGAATGTAATCGGTTTTCGCTTCTTAGGAGGCTCCCAAGTTACTCTTCTTGCTTCCAAAACTTCTCGTAAGTAAAACCATGGGATTGTGGCTTTTGACATTTTTCTGTTAAGTACACTACCTCAACATCAAGGATTTCTGCAAAGGATGATGTTCAGCTAAATATTGAAAAGAGCTATGGTATTAATTATAGAGGACCTAAAAGTTAAAAAAAAATAAGATCCTGTTTTATTAGAGATATGAATCTTTGTCAGGGAATGAGGAGAGTTTGAAAGAGGAATTTAAAGAATAGATAAATGTTTTTGAGATAGGTACCAGTATATGGTGAACTATTTGGGGGACTACTAGAAACTGGAATTAACTTTTAAGTGTGTGTATATTCTTATATGCTTCTTTTGGACATTGGCAAAGACGAAGGTGAAAGCGAATGACTTTTGCTGGGACTAATCTCAGCATAATGAAAAGTGCTAATTATATAAACTTTGAGTTTGAGATTTAAATATACTTTATTGATTTGTTTGCTTCCCATAATAGTCAAAACTACTCAATGAAAAACTGTCTTTTGATACATGTAGGATACCAAAGCTACTTCATGGAAAGAAAGTAAAATATTAAGGAAGTGTTTAACAAATTTTAGGAACAGTGGGGTATTAGGTGGAATGAATGCATATGTAGATACAGGGTGGGGCAAAAGTAGGTGTACAGTTGTTCTTATGGAAAATAATATAATAAGTAATAATATAAGAATAAACTCTGTGTGTCGCATACTCCCAGCTGTAATCCTACTTTTGCCCTGCCCTGTGCATGTAGATATACATATATATTTGGCTGAGCACTGGCCCCAGCTTTTTTTAAATCTGCAGTTTGTGCAATGGGCTGTTACTCTCTGCTTTATGAATTTGCAGTTTTAGTTGGTTATTTCTTTGATAGTAAGGATTTATAGTAAAATAGGGACTTAATCCTTTTTGAAAAATAAAGGAGTTAGCAGGAAGAATACACACACACACACATTCCTGGTTTAGAAACTCTAACAATGTTTCTGTGGCTAAAATCATAACAACTTCTGGAATATACGGATTGGTGGCTTGTAAAATAGACATGGATACAGATGAATATTCCAGACTACGTCCCCAAAATCTGAGACCATTCTGAGAAAAACGAGAAGATTCAGCACTTCTGGGCGTCTTTGTGATTGGTCGTGATGATGGTCTTCTTCGTATCAGGGGCCATTGTGTTTTCATGGGCTCTGCTCTTCACTTGGGTGATGGAATCACTTGGGTGTATTTCTTTGTTAATTTATTCTCTTTAGTTAAACTAAAAAATTGCCAACATTTCCTTGGGAAATTGTATGCATCTGTTTGACCTCAGTTGAGGATGTTGTATGCTGAGTGCAACTGTGATCATTAAAGAAATGCAAGAAGTTAGTCTTTGTTAAAAATGGGGATATTTCTGTCCTAAAGCATTATATTTATCCTTTTTTTAGAAAAAGTAACTTTTAAAGCATTTCCGGGGTCATGGTTACTTTACCATTATTGAAACATCACCAGATATTCAGGTCTTTAGCTGATTCAGGCACATATATCTGCGTGGGTAGCAGTCCCTTGACACAGCTGAGGTGTGGGCAGACAGGCTAAATCATGCGGTAGGACAGGGCCTTTCAAACAAGGACCCACAGGAACTGTGCCACCTGCCACCTGAAGAGTAGCCGTTCCGATTCCTCATGGTTTTTGGCTTCAGGGACACACAGAATTCTACCTAGGAAACACCCCTGTGATGGAGGGAGATAGATGCGTAGACAGCGCCGTTTCCTGGGGTGGAGGCCGGGGCTGGTGCTCCCTGCTGCTCTGGGGGGTTTTCGTCCCCGGGGAAGCAGCGCAGCGATCTGGACCCATCTGTGTCTGGCATGTTATGTCTTTGTGAGAGACACCTAGTCTTGAGTCTGAAATCTGGACCGACAGGAAAACCCTACAAAGGCAAAGAGCACACCACTTCATCCCTGGTGAACAGTCAAGGGCCTCCTACGGAGGTGCCCTTGGGTCTTGGAGAGTGTTTTCTCTGGGTTCCACATATTCATCTCTTTAAAACCTGCGTGGCAGTCAACCAGGGCCTCCATGTGCTGTATGGTCATTTTAGTTCAATTTCCTGGTTCGGGATAGATCGGGCAAAACAGGAAAAAACGAATGAAGCTCATTGCTGCAGATACTAAATCGCAGTGGCGGGGGGCGGAAAAGGTTTTTATTTTCAGAAAGCGGAGTTTTTAGAGTTTATTATGCAAACTATGAAAAAACAAAACATTGAAGGTTAGAATATTTAGGAAAAATACTCTGCACTAGCGAAATTCTTAAAATGATTTCCATAGTCCTAAATTGAAAATAATAAGACAGGTGACAGAAAGTGTCTGTTGTGATCGCAGTGATAGTTTTACGGATGTATGCGCAGGTCTGAATGAATTAAATTACACACATTACAGATATACAGGTTTTTTTTTGGTATATTATACCTCTATAAAGTTATTAAAAATAACAAGATAGGTCAAATTTTATGAGATCAAATATTTTTGTAATCAGAATTGTAGAACATTTCTACGTGGAAGTCAATTACTTTGACTGATTACATACAGTGGGATTTCAGAAAAAACATGCCGTTGCCTAAATGTGTGTATGTCCTCCTGCCATGCCTCCCTCTGAAGATCCAGACCCACACACTGACTTACTACCTCGCACAGCAAACCCTGCCACTCCTCTCCCCCGCCTCCCCTTGTACCCGTCCCTCCCTGTGCCTGTACTCGTCTTGGTCTTCTCTCTAGCTCCAGTTTTACCTTTATCTGTACTATATCTATTTGTACCTTGCCTTGTTCTGCTTGTTTCTTAAAGGATTTAAAATCTACAAAAATGTTCACAATTTGAAAGGGGAAAATAGTGAAAGAAACAGAGAAAATAAGAGCATGCAATTAATAAAGATAAGGATTCTTAGGATCAACACTGAAATATGTACTGTATAAGCCAGTAAGGTACTCGCAGCCTAAAAACAACAAGAAAGTATTTTAATTTCAACTTTCAGAATGTTCAAACGATAAAATCAAATCAGTTTAGGAAATGCATAGCCTTTATTGATGCAGATTTTAGGATGCAATTTCTCTTCTGAATATCACAAAGACAGTTTAACTTCTTCAATAATGTCTCTATAGCTTATCTTTATAATTATTACACTTAAACAGTTATAATTTAGGAGTAGCAAATTTTATAGAGCATTAAAAATAATGATAAAACTCAATTTACTATATATAATTTGATCTCAAATCGGGTAGTCGAAAAACTGCAGCTTAATCCAAGGATAAATTTAGATTAGATGGTGTTGCAAGTTTTCAGTAGCATTTTCAGAAAGAATTGGACAACCAATCTCAATAATTGAGAAGTGAGATGCAGCTGGAAGGAACGTGGATTTCGTTTTGTTTTTAAATGAGCAATATTAGGACACATTTGAATATTAATTGAAATGATTGAGTTAAGTGGGAGAGACTGATAATCAGGAAGGAGAAAGCGATCTCAAAGCAGCAAAGTCTTAGAGAATGAGGCGGGGGTGGGATGCGGACCCTGAGGGGGGCATTTTTGGTGTCCAAGGGGACGGAAGGACAAGCTTCTGTAGCTTTCCTATAATAGGGGGGACTGGATGCAGATCCAGGGAGGCTTTGTAGACCTGTTGGTGGAAAGATAAGGAAGCTCAATGATGTCTAACTTTGAAAAAAAGTGACATTAGTGTCTTAGAGAATAAGAAAACAAACTCACGAATAAGACAATGTAGAGTCTCATTTGAAGTTTGACATCCTGAATTTTGAAGTAAAACCAGTCATCCTTAGATGATTTTCCCTGGCAGTGATTTGTTTATTAGCAGCCAAGCAACTAAAGGCTGGGATTTGGAAACAGAATTGTAGATAAACTGTTTTTATGAGAATGTTTACACTAATGGGCTACCAAATCTAAGATGATAAGAGAAATAAAGATTAGAGAAAGCTGATATATATGGTGAAAAGTATGGATTCAATGGGTCACAAGTCTCAATGAGGTTTAAGAAATGAAATAGAAATTATAGAGTCAGCTAGAAGAACGTAAATGGTGATTTGAGAATGAATGAGATGTTGAAGTCACCAGTTCAGAGGGGCTGCTGGTTCAGATACTGACGAGCTCAGCAGGGAGGGTGTGACCTTGGGGGAGCGGCTTGTGAGGATGGAGAGAAGGACAATGGAGACAAAGTTCCGTATGTAACCTTGAAACATGTTAACCAGACTGTCTTCAGAAACAAAGAGTGGGAGAGGCTTGCTCTTGCTTCTGTTCATTTCGCATTTAGCTCCCGGACTAATGGGAGAGACGGACAGGTGGAGGACAAGTAACAGTGCTTGGTATGCTTACAGAAGCCCACTTTAGGTGCTGCAGAAGCCCAAAGGAATGAGGTCCTGTGAGAGATCTCATTTGTGAAGGGTCTTGAAGGGTGAATAGGAGTTTAGTAGGTGGAGGTGCTCCACGAAGAGGGACAGCTCTCCTCAGGTGCTTGATAGAGCACTGGGCTTCGGAAACCAGTGACATTTCTTTCACGCTGTAAATTTTATATAGTAGGAGCTTTATGACAGCTTTCCAGTGAAACCAAAAATTTTAGGGATAAGCGTAATGATTAAGTCCAAAGTCACCTGAAACCTACCAACGCACTGAACGCCCTTTAATGTATGCAGTGATTCATCAATATGTTACTGTATAATATTTACCTTAGAATTTCTTAGCAATATTACCAAGGGACAATGAGCAAATTATATAAATCTAGCTTGGAAAAAGCCTTTTGAAAAGTAAATTTAGAGAAATCATCTATAGTTTCTACTAATATTGGAGAGGTTGTATATTTAGAATAATATACTAATATCTACTGAAATTGTTTATATTACTTTCTCAAACTTTTTGATTTCAAAAGCATTCATCTGCTTTTCCATCTCACATTTAAAAATTTCCAAAGAACATAAATTATACTGATGCTTTGTTTATGACATGAATACAAACATTATTTATATTGATGAACTTCAGATGTTCTGACATGAATAGACACTGACGTGGTGCATTTCTGTGCCCTGCTTAGTTAAATCCGTTATTGTCTCCATTTGTAGTCGAGTGGAATGGCAGTTGACTGGGCTCCAATCATCCAAATTTATTTCACTTGGAAGCCAGAATGGTTATTTCCACTGAGCTGCTATTACAAGATGCAAAGGAAAAGAGATAAAAAAAAATAAATTGAATGTTCATTTTGGAAGCTATTTTAATTACCAGTATTGTAAGGGTGTATTTTAAAATACAACTTTCTTCTTTCATGTTATATTATTATAAATAGATTTTTATTTCTTCTTTCCATGAAATGTATACTCTGGAAAGTCTCCAGGACAATGTTAACCATTTTGGAACACAAATACTGAGAAAATGCTTAATAATCAAAATAATGCCTTATGAATCTTTGACTCATTCATTCTTGTTGATTTTTGGTAATCTGAAAAAAATCAACTTAAAAATAATTGTTTATATTTCTGAAACCAAAGTATAATTATAAATTTTTTATTGCAAAAAATTTAGTTTTACCTCTTCCCTGCATATATGAATGACAATAAGAAAATAATTAAAGCCAAATATGTTACAGAAAATATTAAATCTATTTAAATGTTCATTACTTTTATACTTCCTTTATTTGGTGGCATCTGTGCATTATACTTGGTCATAGTAGTATACTTGCCATAGTCCATTTGGGCTGCTACAACAAGATACCATAGACTGGGCGGCTTTTGTATGATAGAAATTTGTGTCTCACAGTTCTGGGGGCCGGAAGGTCCAAGATCAAGGTTGGTATCCGATGAGGGCCTGTGTCGTGGTTCGTAGATGCTTGTCTTTTTGCTGTGTCCTCACATCGCAGAGGGGCATGGGAGCTCCCTGGGGTCTCTCTTTAAAAGGGCACTGATCTCATTCATGAGGGCCCCACCCTCATGATCTAGTCACCTCCCAAAGGCCCCGCCTCCAAATACCATCACACTGGGCATTAGGATTTAATGTAGGAGTTTTGAGGGGATATAAGCATTCAATCTTAGCAAGCAGCTGCTGGGTATCCAGAATTTTATTTATATTTGGATTTGTAATTGAACTTTAGGTATTTTACTTGTTTAACTCCACACTTTTTGTATCAGCTGGTTTAAATTTTTTGACCAATATTTTTCAAACATCTAATTGTGATTGACCTAAATTTCATAATTCAAAGATAAATTGCATTTGGGTAGGTCTTTCCCATGGAGCATTATGTTTTATTTCCATGCCAACCGTGTGAGGTATGTTTTACTTTCCCTTTTGTGTAGATAAAGACATTGAAGATTAGGTAATTTATTTGTATTGAAGTCACAGATTTAAAAATTTACTAGATTTTAAGGTTTGCTCAGAGGATGATAAGATGGGAGAAATGGGACTTTCCCTCCAGCATGATGCCCTTAATTGCTACATCTACCACCGTCTGTCACCTGGACCATGGTTATAATGTCCTAACTGTAAGTCTGTTCTTGCCCCTTTGGCAGCTCTTGTAATCAAAACAAAAAATCATCAATGGTGTCATACTGCTCTACGGTGAAAAGTCCTTTGTACTTAGGATAATTTCTACCTTTTTACCCACCTTTATGGGTCTCCCGGTATGTTCTGGCCTGACCTAACATTCCACCTCCTCTAAAGGCACTCTTCCTCACTCTGGCCCACGTCTGGCCCACGTCTGGCCCACGTCTGGCCCACGTCTTGCCCACGTCTGGCCCTTTCTTTGTTCCTGGGATCTGTCTGACTTTGTCTGCCCTGCGGTCTTTGCGCTTGCCACTCCTTCTACCTGGACTATACTTCCCATTCCTAAAGTCTGAGCTTTGTGCACAAAAGGATTAGGAATGGGGTCTGGACTCAAAAGTTGATAGTTTCAATCCCAGCCCTGGATTACAATTAGTCTAAATGACTGGAAAAACTACTATGCCTACAAACGGGGATGAAATAGTACAATTATAATATGTAAGAATCAAATGAGATAATTCCTAAAAAGCATGTAGCAATTTCCTGGTACACTGTAAGTACTAGGTAAATTTTAGCTCGTAATACTGTTTTCATCATTGTTACTAGTACTACTACCACTGATGATAACTTCCCAGTGTGACTTTCTCTGACCACAGTTATCTTAAGAAAGAACACCCATTCATTTTTATCAAAAAGCATGAGCTTATTATCTGCCTACCATGAATTCTAGCTCTGATATTTAAATTGCTTTGTGATCTTTGGCAAGCCTCTGAGATCCTCTGTGCCTAGCTTCCCTTTTTATTAAAAAAAAAAAAAAAAGGTGGTTATAATCACAGTGCTTGGTAGATAGCTGGTGCTCAACAATAACAGCTTCTGTTATCATAGACGTTGGTATTGCCGATGTTGCCACTGCTGTCCCTGTCATTGTCATCATTGCTGCCATCATCACCGCATCGTCAGGGGAGGAGCTAATAAAAGAGACAGGAATTTGGCTCTTGTGGAGCTAAGGATTCAAGGACTGGAGGCAAATAAGATTTATATTTAGAGAAGGGTCTGATTGCAAAATCGCTCTTCAAATAAAAGAACTACTTGAAAAGCAGAAAACTTTGTTTATGATTACAAGGATTTAAGCTGGCTGTAGTGTCCAGGGTAGGGGAGTCTCTATAGAACAAATTGTATTTCACATCAATATTCTTTTTTTCCCCCTGACTTATTTATTTTTTATTGTTTATTCTATTACAGTTGTCCCAGTTTTCTCCCTTCTGCCGCCCTCCACCCAGCTCACCCCTCTCTCGCAGGCAGTCCCTCCCTTGTCTGTGACCATGACCCATTTATAGATGTTCTTTGACTAATCCCTTCCCTTTCCAGATATTTTACAATGGCTGTTTTCTTATTTTTTAAGTAAAGCTTTTTTCTTTTAAAAGGACCCAAATTTGTTTTTTAATTGTACTGAAACCTATTATAAGATACATAGTAAAATGGACCATGCACTACAGGTTGCCACTGTGACCACATGCCTTTGGCTTAAATTTGAAAATGTTAAGCGGCTAATGCAGAAAACCTCAATAACGCGCTAGAAATATTTTAATCAACTCAGTAGAAGTCATTTCCATATTCCATAAAAGAAATCTTTGTTCTTTTTGTTTTGGTATTTGTGTCAGAGTTAGTGATAATTTGTGTATTTTCAGCTAGTAATAAGCATTTTCTTTCATTATTTTTCTCTCTCAGAACGATATCGCATTCAGAGTGAACAGTTCGAAGATCTTTGGCTCATAACAAATGAGCTGCTTATCCGCCTTCAAGACTATTTTGAAAAGCAGGGAATCAAAGATTTCACATGTTCTTTTTCTGGATCTGTGCCCCTCCAAGAATATTTTGAGTTGATCGATCATCATTTCGAGGTGTGTATGATTCCAACACACATTATTTATATTTTTGAGTGCACAAAAGAAAGAGATGCTGCAGAGGTAAGAAGTGTAGTATACCTGCTACTAGGCCATGGGCTTCAAGTTGTTCGTTTGCAGACAGTGGATTCTGTGAATCCGTTCCTGCCCTCTTGCCTGGCTTGTGATCAGCTGCAGACATTTAAGAGTGGCTGCCCGGAGCTAAGCATGTGGTCTGGCCCCAGAACAGAGCTGACTTAATTCTTCTACATGAGACTTAACCTTTGACCCCAATAACCCGGTGCTGAAACTATTAGAGTTTATCGGCAGCCGTTTGGCTAACTAATTCTAGCAAGCCACAAACGAGGTGTGATTATAAAGTAAAGTGATTTCTCCTTTTCTTTTTTTAACAAGCGTACCAGGACTTTTGCATCCGAATGAGGGTTAAACACATAAAATATTCTCCAGTATTGGGCATAATGGGCGCTTAGTAAGTGATAAATGGCTACATGTCTAAGTAAATGAGGTCTGACAGCAATGTTGTTGCCTGAATATTTTTACGTATCTTTTTCTGGAAGTACCTTCAGAGCCTGTTTTGGATTCTCTTGGGTATCTTGATGGCGTCCAACCTTTATCATTTGAAGACTGATTTGATATTTGGAAATAGTCTAGAGTCATGTTTTGTGAATGAATTGGACAATGACAGTCTTTGTGTAAAATTCACCAGGCTCTACTTACTTATTTGCTTATAAATAGACTTTGAAGGCAATTACAAAGGGGACTTTGAAAAGAATTTTGAATGTCATTCAAGGAAGCATTGGTTTTTAGAGTGACTACTTTTTAAGGCACCAATAGGTTTTTGCATTTCATTTTATAAACTACGGTGTGTGTGTGTATGTGTGTGTGTGTGTGTGTGTATGAGAGAGAGAGAATGATCATTTCATGTAACTTGCCGGTCATATGAATATTCTACCTCATTTCTGTGCCTTTCAACATTATAAAGGCATTGACTTCAAGTGATAAAGGCTTCTTTTAATACAGTGTAAACTTAAAGGGAAAAACTCAGTGCATATAATCCAATCAAAAATAACATGTCATTATCAAATGAAGTTGGCCTTATTTGGGTTTCTCTTATATATGCTGATATAGGGGAGAATACGTTTGACCACACTGTGGCACCAAAATTGACAATTTGGCGAATATATTTATGAATTTTAAGGATTGATAACTTTTGCCATTCTCTCGGATGCATTTTAAGAAAGTCCGGCTTCACTGGGCCAGACTGGGGCCTAGCGGTTTGTGGAGGAGAGTCCCCAGGAAGACAACACCGATCGTTCCTGGGCCCCTTCTGCAGCGGGGCCGGCCCGGCCCGGCGCGGCGGGCGCTGGTGCACATCAGGCCGCCTCCCCAGGAGAGATTTCAAGGATGAATCAGCGTGAGAGGAAAGCAAGTTTTATTCACAGAGAGAAAAAGAAAGAGGCCAGGGTGTGGGCGCTGCGGTGAAAGCAGGGAAAAGTATGTGACAGAGTGAAACATCAGTCATAATGTTTTTCTTTTTTTAACCGTAGAGAATTAATTTTTTCAGTACTTTTTCGTGTGTATTTGTGTGTATGTGTGTGTGGCTTTTGGCTTGGACTATACTCATAAGGATCTTTCTCATGCTGAGATTATTAAAAATTCTAATTTTTCTGGTACTTCCATTGTGTCTAAACATTTGATTCCTCTGCAGTTGATTTTGCGGTAAATACTGGGGGAGAAATTCTTGCTCATTTCTGCCATGTGTTTAATTAGTTTTCACAAGACATTTGTTAAATCATCTATTCTTTCCCCAGTGATACTGGGCATCTTTACTAAATTTTTATTTGACCTATTCTACCATTTTATCTATGTATTCATGTTCCAAATGCCATTTAATCCTTTTAACTCTGTGAATTTCTTCATTACTCTTTCAGATTTTTATCGGCATTTTCTGCATTCTTACTTTAAGTATGTTTTGTTGTGCACATTTAACCTGAATTTAAGAAATTCTTCATTGTAGCTGCGGCTAAATGGTGAAAAATTAGAAGAACTCTTATCTGAGAGAGCTGTGCAATTTCGGGCCATTCAACGCCGCCTGTTAACCAGGTTCAAAGATAAGACACCTGCCCCCCTCCAACACCTGGACACCTTGCTGGATGGAACTTACAAGCAGGCAAGTATATTATTACTGGTAGTTTTCCTCAACCACAGCCTGTTGATTTTGAAAGGACAAATCAGATTTTTTTCAGAGCTAGCTTCTCTAGAGGAAAGAACAACAACTTACTATGTAAACATCAACAACTGCATTGATAATACCTTTGCTTCTTGAAATTCTCATGGTTATTTGAAAAATCAGCATTTTGAGGGACAGTCTTTAGCAGCAGTCGGGTACCCTGGAAAGTACTTAGAGCTTGGAGGCCAAGTCCCCAGTTCGGTGTTGGCCGTGCGGCTTTTGGCAACTTCCTCACCTCTCAGAACTTCAGTTTCTTTCCATAAAATGGGGTAACTACTTCTGTGGTGTTACAGAGATTCCCTCCACCATGTCCTTGGCAGTGCAGGCAGGTTGCCGTACAAACGCAGGCCGCTAGCTCGCTTTGTGTAGGGGCGGCCATGTGGCCCCTGGCAGGCACTGACGCGTGTCCTGTTCCACACGCCTCTAGCACACTTTTCGTTCTGGTGTCATTATTTTCATTTTTCCCTCCTGCTCCTTCCTGTCTCTTTGTTGACTTGTCTGTCTCTGGCCTCCGGCTGTATCTCTGGCCTCCGGCTGTATCTCTGTATCTCCCGTTCTTGGGGCTGCAGATACGCTGAGTCTTGTCTTTGATGATGTGGGATCTTCTGTGGACACAATGGCAGAAGGGTGTTTAAAGGGATTTGATGAGGGTGCTTGATTTAATGCTTCCCATATTGTCTTTTTTTTAATTGTTGTTCTAGCACAGTAGTCCCAGTTTTCCCCTGCTGCCCTCCCCTGCCCCTCCTCGCCCCCGATCAATCCCCACCCTGTTGTCCATGTCCATGGGTCATTTATACTTCTTCTTTAACTAGGCTCTTCAAGACTTCCTTTGTCTGTATACGTGTAAGTGCTGGGGGTTTATTTTTCCTGTCCAGCCTCAGGGCTGGGTCTTTTCTGTGATATATACTATAACAGAAAAGATGATCAAAACCATGGGTTTTTACTTCAAATCTGTCATTTTCCCTCTCCATTCTTTTTAGATTAAAAGAATGAGTCACCTTTCAAAAGAAAAATATGAATACTATAAGAAATGTGACTTAATGTGCTTTACTGTTCAATTTTATTGGACATATTCACATTACATTATGGCAAGATATTCTGTATTTCAATTCTTTTTAGTAAGTTTCATAATGATGTAGTTAATACATGAATATAATTTACCAGTAAAAATTACAAGATTATACACAATGCTAAATTCTTCAGCTTGATTCTTTATTATGTCCTCAGAAATGTAATCATTTTTAGATGTTTTTGTATGTTTTCAGACCTTTTGCATTCAGAAATGACATATTGCTTTGTGAGCCTAAAAAAAAAATCACAGATTGTATCATAGTGTACGTATTGGTCTACCTTTTCTTTTCTCTTCCTTTTAACAGTATGCACGGGAGCTCTTGCTTTATTAACATGTAGATTTACTCCTCTATTTGTGGTGGCTGTGTTCTATAATATAGACATTTTGTAGTATGGACAAACCCTAGTTTATTAAGGGATAAATCTTAATAATAATTTCAATGTTGAGTCTGACGCTGAGGAAAATCCCTTGTAGACACCTCTGTCGTGACCACACAGGCACAGGACCGGCCTTGCTGTCACACACCTGCTTAGTGTAAATTCTTACCTTTCCCTTTGCCTGGACAGTGGGCGTGGTTCGCTGGCAGGTCAGCCAGGCCCGCGAAGTGGTCGGCCTTGCTAGAGCCTGACCTTACTCTCCCTGGCATGACGGCACTGCCGACTGTCACTAGATTTTACGAGGGTTTTCCCAATGCGCCAGTTGGAAATGAGATCAGCTGCCTGTGTGCAGTCCTTGTTCTCTCATGTGCAGGGAGCTTTTAATTTGCCCCTTAGTCCTTTTGTGGGTCTTTGTGCCACTTCAGTGCCGCCCGGTACAGCAAGACGGGGAGCTGCGCAGTGGGATTTGCTTCCTGTCCCGTTGATCCGTGTGCGTCTGGGAGATGCTCCACTGTCACCAGTTAATGAAGCGGTGACGATGGGCTGGTGTGGAAACGGAAGCCGCAGCCGGTACCCTAAACCTGGTGTGTCGGCTCTCCAAAGGCAGGGACGTTTTCCTTTTTTGTGTTTATCACCACTCTCCTTAGCACAATATATTTCTTGCCTCATTACGGGCACTTAATAAATACTTGCTCCATGAGCGAATGCTTTATTGCCACTAAGTTCTTGAAATTGAATGTCCGTGACAAGGGTAGCCCTTCAAAGAATGGAGTAGCAGAGAATTCTTTCGGTTCAGATGTTTTATTCTAAAATCCTCAAAAGTCACTAAAACATGAAAACTCCCTTCTCTTTTCCTAAATAATCAGGTAAAATGTTGTAGCTAGGAGGGTTTTATAGCTGCAAATTCTTGACTGAGAAGATCTTTCCTGTTTTTTTTCTTTTTTCTTTTTGTGAGTGTATGTGTGCCAGAGTTAAATATGATATAATCATCTGTTGAAATGCATCTGTGCACACAGGACATTGTTGAGGTCGAACCCCTCCCTATTTTCAGTGCAATGAGAATTACTTAGACTTTTTCAGTATTAATACATATCCAGAAGCATGAAAAGTTTGATTCTCCTCATTTCCTATTTATATAATTGTTCAGTTCTTCCTGTTGGAAGGCATTTTTTTTTTTCTTTTTCCATAATACATACGCTTTTAGCAGCTGGGATAGGATATAGAGATGTAGAACTGGAGGAAGTTTGGCAGTCTTGTTGGTGATTGATGGTCCAGGAACTGCAGTGAATTCCGATAAAGTCCTTGAGATAAACTGAAAGTGAAGCCCAGGGCCCTCCATATACAAATGATTAGGTATTGCTGAACTGGCCATAGTGTGTGATGGTTTGTATGGTACGCTTGTTCATAATGGACTTAACGAAGGCGCATACGCTTGTGGGTTCTGAGGTCAGTTTGGCTTCCTACCCCTTGCTCAATGATAGTAGCTGTTGTTATTAATTAGGTACCCAAAGGTGCTTACCAGATGCAGATGTAGGCAAGGCCAGGGCTGGCACTATGGAATCTGCGTCCTTGGTGTTTAGGAGAAACTTGAGGTACCACTAGCTTATACAGTGAGCCAGTGAAGGGGACCTCTGATCTTCCAGGGACCTGGAATGTAGCTAGAGCCTGTTAGAGAAAGCCATCGCTTCTCAGGTTGCAGTGAGACATCCAATATTGTTTCTGTAAATACATGCTAATAAATGCTCTAGCGTTTGTGGTGGCATACCTGATGTGTCCTAGTATAACGACTCAGAGCTTTTGGTCTAGAGTCAGCTTGCTTGTATGTTAGTCCTGGCTCTGTGACCTGGGGCAGATGAGCTAAACAGACAAAAAGGAAACAAAACCTTCCCACCTGTAGCATGGAACCTTCTTCCTGGGGTTGTGGTGAGAATTGAAATGTGTAAACACGTAAGTTGCTTAGAATAGTGCTTGGTACACAAAAGCTCGCAACAAATGTTAACTACAATTCTGGGGACCATTTCCCATGTCTATTTGACTAATAAGTTATGACATCTCAAAAGTGGTACCATTCATTGATCAGACAAAAGAGGTTATCATAATACTTTATCTTTCTGAAACTCTGCTATCTGTCAACCTCACAAATCTAGACCTCAGCTGGGAATCAAGAAGATCCTGTATCCTCAGCGTATCCCCAAAGTCCTTTAGCATATTTACCTGCCCTGGGCAATGTTTGGTTCCAGAGGGGACCCCAAAAGGGAAGGGATATCATCAGATGATGAGATCAAGTATCCATCTTTCCTGAACCCCTGGTTGTTTCAATTTTTAACTGAGCAATAATGTGATTGTTGCTTTACTCTTTCTTTCTTTGCTTTCCAGTGAGGTTGAACATTTTAAAAATGTTAATTGGCCATTTATATTTTTTTCTTGTGATTTACATATGTATGCCACTTTTTATCAGGCACTTTGGTTTTTTCTTATTTTGTGAATATTAGGAGTGGCAATCTTTTATCACACTTTGTCATTCATAAAAAATATATTTTGTATATAAGGAATGTAATCTCTCTTCATGTACAGAAAAGAACTTTACCAATCTGTCATTTGCCTTTATTTTTATTTATAATGTTTTTTGATGTAAAATTTAAAAAGTATTTCATAGTAAAATCTATCCATCCTTTTTCTTTATGTTTCTCTGTCTAGGAAAGCCTTCTCCATGCCAAGAGTACATGAATGTAGACCTATAATTTATCCTAACATTTTCCTGCTATCATTCTTTATAGACACTTTTTAAATGCATGTGGAATGTATTATGCAATTTAGTGGGAACCTCATCTCCTCACCTAAAAGGGTGAGCTAGTTGTCTTGGCTCCTGTTTGTTGCGTAATCCATTTCTCTCCCACTGAACAAAAATACTGCCTGTATAGCTTACCAATTTTACTGTACAGCCAACCACTCCAAATCTTAGTGGCTTCAAACAACAGCACCTCACTACCGTTCATGAGTCTCTGGGGTCAGCTGGGCAGTTCTGTTAATCTGGGCAGTGCTTGGCTGACTTTGACCTGCCTCAGTCACGTATCTCTGGTCAGCTGGTGGCTCAGCTGGGGACCAGATGGCCTAGCACATCCTTGCTCACATATTTGGCAGCTGGCTGACAGTTAGGTGGGATACCTGTGGGCTTGTTCACCTGGTGGCTTCAGGTCCCAAACCACAGCATTCTCTCAGCCTCTGCCCATGCTGTGTCTCTTGATTCCCTGTTGGTTTTGAGTCACCTGGATCAGCGGGGTGTGGAAGTAGTCTCTGCTGCTCTGTTGGATGAGTGGAGAATTGTGGGCATTTTCACAATCTACCCTGCTCCTTGTGGTTTGCTAAAAGTCAGTGTGCTCCTACATTAGCAAAATGTTTTCCAGGATAATGTTTTCATCCTTCCCTAACCCTTGACCATAGGTTTTCTGTAGTTTTGACTTTCAAACCTAAACTTTTGTTGTCATTAAAATCTTACTCATTTATAATCAGTTGTGGGCTATGGACTTTGTAATTAATTAGGTTTGTCAAGAGATGTTTAAAGCAAAGGGAGCGTCTGTGTTGTTTTCGGGCTAAGGAGACTGCCTGATGCTTGTGTGCTCAGTTAGGGTCAATTCCTTTGGAGATGGAATCTGCTATCCAGTCTCCGTGTAGATCCTCAGCTTAGCCGTGTCTGGTGGGGGCGGGAGTGGGTAGTAGTGCTTCATGGGCCTGTGACCTGTGCTGGCTCTAGAGGCCTGTGTTTGGTTTCATGTTCTGTGGCAGCCATCTTGAAATTCTTCCTACTTTTCGAACAAGAGGCCCAGATTTTCATTTCACTCTGAACACCGCAAATAAGGTAGGTGGCCCTGGCTCTATCTGGGTATTGATTTCTGATGAGTAGGACAAGATGTCTGAGAGTGCCAATACAGAGGAGAGTTCAAAGGCACAACAGCGTTTAAAGGCAGAATGGCTTCATTACCACTGCCCCCAAACCACCTGTAAGCTCCCCCAAAATGAAGAAAAAGGGGTGCAGGGGGCATCAGTGAGAGCTCGAGGGCTGCTTTCTGGGAAGCACATCTTGATTAAGTGACAATGAAGCGACAAGGATTACCTCTTTCAGGAACACCATCCTGCAGTTAGTTGTCTGTAGGCATGCTGTAGGCGGCAGCCTGTTTTGACACTTCCGGCAGGCGGGTGACTGGCACTGAGCTCCAACATCAACGGTTACAAGTGTTGGTGCGCACGGGGGTCAGCCAACTGCTTTTCTCTTGCGTTTAACTGCAAGTCATTTCCTGTATCCCGTGTCTTTGATTGGGTGGGCGCTGGAAACCTGCACTCCCACATCACCCTTACTGGCAGGTCTGTCTTGCGTAGGGTCAACCTCCTGTCCCATCGCACCCCTGGGGCACCCATCAAGCATCCCTCGCTGAGGGCGGCCGGTGGCTGAAGTGAGGAGAGGTGACTAGCCCTGTCGCTCTGAGAAAGCATCTTGTGATTCTGACATGAGAAGGGGCTGGCCTCCAGAGAATGAAGAGTCTTCAGTTGCTCACCATAATTTCAATAATTTATTCCAGAACTTTGGGGAAAGAGCTTACTTTTTGAAAGAATGTTCACCTTCTAGCTTTAGAGGCGTTATGTTAAAAGAAAGTAAGCATGTCAAGAATGTCTTTTCTTAGCAGTGAGAAACCTAAATTCCTCATTTGTATAGCTGGAATACTGCCTTGTCAACCATCTGAATGTGGTTTTGGATGACCTAAGACAGGGATTAAGGGAAGAGAAGGGAAATCCATATTTATTGAGCAGCTGGTGAGTCTGAGGCAAATTTTCTTTATTGCTTTGTTTAATACTCACAATCATTTTTGGGAGGGTGGCATTATTGTTCCATTTTATGGAGGAAGAAATTAAACTCCAGAGTTAGGCAACTTGCTCAGTGTTACAGATCTTGAGCAATCAATTCCAAAGTCTATGTTTTGCTAATGTATGTGGCATTTTTACTTAATCATTTCCAGGTGGAACATAGACATCCTAGGTTTTCTTTAGCAAAACTACAGTCAGGTTAAAGAAAAAGAAGATTTATGCAAACTCTTTGCACATACGCCTGGTATGTATTTATGAGCATCCAGTACTCACTGTGTGTGCCCCTCTCATAAAGGTAGCAAATCTTCTGGAGGTTTCCCCAAAGTATATATTACCTCTGAAACTTGAGTATCAGAGGAAGAGGCAACTTTGTTAATTTGTTAACTTACACTGATGTTCAGTTTTCTTTGCCATCAAATGCTAATGCTTATTGCATTTGGCAGAAAAGCTTTGGAAAAATAACTTCTCTTCGTGTTATAAAATTTTCACGCACGTTTGTTAGTCAAAGCAGGACTGGTTGGTTGAATTTGAAATAGAGGATATTGAGACTTACCCTACAGTTTGGCTTGTGTTTTGATGCTTTTATGTGTACTGAGATCTTTTTTTTTTTTCTCCCCACTTGAACACT